ATTGGGACACGATGTGATTCATGTGTGGGGCACCTTGTAGGATAAATGGGTTTGGCTGATTGACCCCCCTGAAGCTGCAGAGAGCGTTTCGTTGGAAACTAAATCTAAAGAAAAACGAGCAAAGGTTAAGTGGCGACGTGCATATCCCTAAAAGCTTTGCTGAATTACAGAGGAAAAATCTGGAGTCAGGTTTAGAATATTCTGTCCCCCTGCAGGAATGCTAGGAATGTCAGTATTTGTCTGGGACTCAAACTGATGTCCGTTTTTTAATTATATTCCAGCCTTGACATGAAAACACGCACAGCTGATGGCCTTCAATAACTGTTTCAACTTGAAAGAGCTGAATGGTCTAGAACAGGGGATAACAGCCCTGGTGCTGGGGCTGGGGTGGGTTGGGAGATTACCTCTGTTTCTTCTGGTTTTTGTTTGTAATCGAAGGCTGATTGATTCCAACTTCCCGTTTCAGTCACACTTTTAAATTTGCTCTCAGCTCTTAAAACGCTGACTGGATTGTGTCATTGGTATCAACCCTGGATCTGTTTCTCCCCTCACCGAGCTGAAATGACACTTACTGAGCCTCTGGGGTTTTCCAGCTCACTTGCTGCACCAGCAGGACCGGATTTTGGTGTTCCTAGGCCCTAGACACTTTCACTCCGAAATGTGCTAAAAAGAGGGGTAAACGCCAATTGAATTTCGTCAATTAACATGAGGCACTTCAAACTATTATAATGCTAAACCACACGATCGATGGAGCGAGTCGAGTGACCATCACTTCGATACTTCTAGGTTCTAGAACAGCCGCTGCATAGCGTCTGATTATTGATTTGGGGCACCTAGAGTCGATGGCAAGCATGTTGTTTCAGCTCATTTTTAGTAAGTCACTAGTGTTTCCCTCCTTCGTAAGTCCTAAAAAATTGATAGGCCCTAGGCACTGTGCCTACAGTGCGAAATGAGAAATCCAGCACTGTGCACCAGACTGAATGAGAGTCATGAGGACAGCCACCGGTCACCTGTCCTCCTGGCCTGGAGCAGCAGTGATGCCCACCGCTGCTGCCTTTCATGTGAGATGTGTGCTTTCTGATTGTGTAGAGGCTGTCACCCTCTGTGTGTTTACTGAAACTTTGGGGTGTTTCCTCATGTGTTTGAGGGCCATTGCTGTGATTTCAGCTGGAAGGAAACGCTTTACCATTCAGTTTGTGTTAGTAAATGAAGCAAGAAAATGAGGCCCTTAGAAGATGAAAGCAGTCAATTATTTTACTTTGTACTGTATATGTTGTTTTTGCAAGTCATGGCCAGTGAGAAATGATCAATTAAAATGATGACAGAAAGATGTAATCAATATCAAAAAGCCGTCCAATTTAAAAAATAAAATAAAATGAGGCCCTTTATCCGTGTCTCGGATTCATTCAAACGCTGAAAGATGGTTAGAGAGGTGAAGGGGTTCTCTTGAAGGGAGCGAGTAAGAATCTGTGCACAACAATGGTTCTAAGAGAGGAATGGTATTCTTCATGCACCTCGAGAAGCCAAGCCAGTCGAAGCCTGCAGCCAACTCCCGCTTTTGGCAGCTGGAACGGCGAGCGACAGGCCCGGACAGGACCCTCTTTGCTGCAGCTGGGGCAGGGAGCAGGAGGGGTGTGTGTGTGCAGGCAGACAGGCAACCACAGTGGCAGACTTGCCCAGTCTTCCAGAGCCCGGCCAGGGGGCATGGGCCGAGCCTCCCAGCCTCCGAGGGGGAGAGGCGTAGGCCTGGCTGCCACTGAAGATCTAGTCAACTAGCTCTGTTGAGTCTAATATTTCCTTTACCCCAAAAATATTGGTGTGTGTGTGTGTGTAGGGTTGGAAATGGGCACTTCAGACCTTTAACAGAGGAGAACCAGGTTGCTGCTGTAAGTGGTGGACCAGTAAGAGGCGCTCTTCTCTCTGGGCCAGAATTGACAAATACTGATGTCCTAGTAAGATGACAGGAGACACCATGCTATAGAGCGTGCCATCCTATGGCTGAGACTTACCAAAGTTCTGCTACTTGGACATTATAGATCCCAGGGGACTGTTTGTATGATCAGGGGTGTTAATCCCAGTGGGATCTGCTCATACACCTCAAGCAATAACGTAATACGCATGCAACACTTACTATCAAAAGACATTTATTAAACTGTCCATGCATACATGTTTCTAGAAAAATAAAATTGATGGCTTTTTGCTATTATAGTCGTTATTTTGACTAATTGATCATTCGTCACACAAGAGTGATTTTGATGCATAAGTATTGTATCACCTCGTAAGTGAGAGACTTAATTGGGCACATGGAATGAGGTGAATCAGTCTGTTAAATGTTAAAAAGTAAAGGAACTAATGTTCTCCACTTATCAAAAGGACAAGCCCTTTGCACTGTCAGTATATGAGAGGGTAACCAGTCAGTGCTCCATTGCTCTCTGGCAGGATGAACACGGCCTGTCAGTGATGGACAGTGATCTGGCAGGTCAATGGGGAGTTTTGAGTATGTTGGTCTGGTAGCTAGAGATTCCACTTTTCGTGACTGATGGCAACCTGACTGCTCAGTGCTCCAGAAATCAAGTCCTGGGTCCTTCCTGCCAGGAGAACATTCCAGCTGGACAGCACATGTCCCTCATGCTGCTCGGGCAATAACAGCTCTTTTGCCAGATGTTGGATAGATGGATACCCTCACAATAGTTGAGCCCCTTTTGAGCTGAAATAGCGTGTCGCATCTATGAATCAGAGACCAGTAAACTGGTACATGATTATTACATATCTAATAATGAGTGAGACAAAATCTCACAAGGCAATGGGGCTTCACAGATGTTGCCTTACTGATGATGAGCTTGTATTGATTTCAGCGGTGGTCACACACAGTTACCAGCCTGTGACTTTAGATTCCCCGTTCATCATCCTAGGTGAGAACCAGTGTAAATCGGCATAATTAAGTGACATTTCTGTAACAGATGTGACACAAGCCATTTAGCCGATGGTAAAGTCTGAATTTGTTGCAGGTAAAAATTAGTTTCTTTTGGTGCTCGGTATAGTTACAGTATGTTTTTCCAGCTGCTTAAAAAATCCACTTCTGTACCTCACAGGCACGTGAACTCGTCCTAACAAAAGCTTTACCTGTAGAGCAGCAAACAACAATAGAATTTAAACACCAGAGAACTGGGATAATAATGAAACGAGAGGCAGAACTGTGGACACAAAAGATTCCTAGTGCCTCGTGCTGTTTGATCTTCTTTGGCAGAGCGAAATGAGAGAAAAAAAAAACAAATGAGACAGAAAAATGGATCTTTTAAGTACTGTGGCGTTGAAAGCGCTCTAGTAAAAGCCTAGCTTCCTCCAAATCAGAAATTGTTGAGTCAGGAAAGAAGCAATGGCCGGGTTCAGTGTCATCTCCTGCTGTTCACATTGGTTCTGGCATAGTCATAGTCTCATAGTCAGTCTGCAAGCTTGAAGGCACAAGGAAATAATAATAAGGGATGATCTCTGCCATTGGTGTATTTCTTTCTTCCTTGATGCGTGTTTTTTTCTACAATAAGCTGCTGAGTCAAGTCCATCTGTCCTTCATCTATCTGAGCCCACTGTGGCTTCGGCTTGGGCGATCTCCCTCACGGCTGGCTAATGATACGGGCACGGTTTGTTTTGTTTTTGAACGATTTTTTTTCCTCCCATTTTTATAGCCAATGCCTGAGAAAAGAAGACAGAATGATTTTTTTTTCTCCTGACAGCAGCACTTCAATTACAGCGAACCAGTTGTTGGTTTTATTTTCTTAGTGAAAACACATTGTAAGAGCAACAAAACCACATCAGCGGACTTAAACACTGAGTGACTGAGGGGTGTGTGTGCGGGGCGGAGGGGTGTTAAAATGTCCTTTCAAGTTTACTAAGAGGAGATTGCTGTAATCTTTCAGTTTATGAAGCAATACCGTGCGCAATGTAAATCAAGCTTTTTGTGAAAGATTTTTTTTTACCACTGGACCATATTTTGCAAAGGTTGCTCTCTTCTATACTCTATCATTTTTCCAAACGTCCCTTATCTCACTTTCTGTCACCCTTCCCTTTCTCACCTCTGCGCTCTCTTTCTCATGCTGCCACCTCCCTCCAATATCCTTCTTCCTACAATCCAGCTCATTTCAATTCAGAGCTTTATTGGCATGACTGCTGAATTACAGTGTTGCCAAATCATATACAATTAACACAACATCTACAAACATTTACAGTGCAAACACATCATAGGATGTTTACATACAACACATAGAAAACTATTGGGAGACAGACTCACTGCTCCTCAGGCTCTGACGGGAGATCACATACTGTGCCGCCACATACTGTGCCCAATAGGATTGGGAGCTGCTCTGATTCTGGGAGGTGTGGGAATTCTGGGATTAGGTTAGTTATTTTAGAGAAAAAGGTTCGTCCAATCCCGGAGTATTTCTCATACTATAGCAGAGTGTGCATCTATATCTCTGTTTCTCCCCGCTGGCAGTGGGACCACAGCCTGTCCTCTCTGGGCAGCCAGGTCTGTCTGTGTCGCCCAGTTTCATTGGCCAGATTGTGGTCACCGAGCCTGTACTTCATTAGGGTCTTTTTCTCCTTACTGTTTCTAACCTTTGTCAGATATTCAGCTAGTGTGTATTGTCTGTTTAGAATACTGTAGCATTATACAGTATACAATGTATACTATAGCAGTAGTTTGTGTTGTGCTTCTGTATCTGTATTCCAGTGGGTTCCCGTGGGTGCTGTGCTTGTGTTGTGATTTGGTTAATATTGATTAATGTTGTTTTAGCTGTGCTGTCCTTAGGCTGGTTAGTGTCGGTGAGCTTCAGGACCAGCTTGGCTCAGCAGGGCCCTGTGGTGGTGCAAATTCTGGTCACTGTTTCTCAGGTGTAACCAGTATTTGATTGCTCTCTTTTGTATCCAGATTTGTCATGGGTATTGGCCTAATTCATTCTAGTTAGAATCACTCACCACCCTCTCTCTCCTTCTGCTCCCTACAGTCATCTACAACTACAATGCCAAGGTGGAGCATGGACTTAGCCTGCAAGTGGGCGACTCAGTTCACATCCTGGAGACCTTTGAAGGTGAGGGCGCAGAGAAATCCATACCTTCCAAGCAAAGGGAAAGCCATGGTTTATTGAGATGACCTGAAAACTTTCCTCTTGCTGTGGACTCAGATTTGTTATAAACACTGGACATAATCTCGTGTTTCTTCCCATCTTCTTCTCTATCACTTCTTCATTTTAATTGCATACACCTCTTTATCCCTCTCCCTCCATCCTACTGCTCCTCTCTTCACCCTCTGTCTCTTGTTCACACAGGGTGGTACAGAGGCTACACACTGCGGGACAAATCGAAAAAGGTATATTCTGTTTTGCTTTTTTGGTTCCCTCCAGCTCCCACCTTCCCCTGACTGTCATGTCGTCAGAATGTCTTTTGCTTCTGGCAGCTGCTCCGAGAATGCTTTGTGCTTGTTGCTGGTAAGCTTTTGTAGGCCAACATACATGTTGGACAGGTTAAAAAAATCTGCAGTTGAATCTTCTTGTTGGCTACACCAGTAAAGGGTTTTTCTTAGAGCACAAGGTAATCACTTTGGTTCTGATGTCAGGGTGGGATTAGTGGCCTAGGGCTGTCTTGGCGTTCCAGCAAACAGGAACTCTCCTGCAGGATGCTGGAGAGCCTGTAAGGTTTCCAAGGTGTAACATGACGAGCGGCTTAGCAGGTGAGCGTGTTAGAGGAGAATGTCTCTGTGTCTCATTCACTCCCAAGTAATACTAGGAGTTACAGCCTGTGGACTGAGTCATACATAATGATTAATGAATCAGAAATTGAGTGGATAAAACGTATTAATTGTCAATTTCAGATTTTAAAAAAATGTGTGCTTGCTCATGCTAGCCCCTGCTTTGAATAGTATGGATGACTCCTTATGGTTAAACAGCAGGAGAGTTTAAACTGGTCCTTGCAAGGAAAGTTTGAATTGTTTCCTTCCGCTAAAAGGAATGAATCTAGATTTCTGACATGACTTCCTGTGATTTCCTCCATAGGGCATTTTCCCAGCTTCCTACATTCACCTGAAGGAGGCTAAAGTAGAGGGAACAGGGTAAGATTTAATTTCAGGAGGCCTGGTCTGACTCTAATGGGATCTCAGAGGGTCATGCCATTTCAGCTCTCTTTCCTCACAGAGTCGTGTTTTGGCTTAAGTGAGTGAGTGTGTCTAATCAACATGAGCCGCTGATTGAATACGCCTACAGACTCCTCTGCAGGACAAATGTTGCAGTATACTGCTATACTTGTAGAGAATCTCAAGTAAAAACTACAGCCTTCCCATCTTGAACTGTAGCAGTGAACCTGCAGGAACTTAAAGAAAAACACAACTGTTGAAAACCTAAGAACTGATGAGCATCTTATAATGAGCAGAGATGTCCTTTAGTCCTGTGGGTGTGAGTTAGTCCTAATTATGATCTAAATGAGTCATCAAGGATCCCAGTGCTTGGGACCTGGTGACTTATTTTGCAAAAGCGTACTCCCAGCCTTAACAGCAGCAGATTTATACAGAATCTGCTGGTTTTCCTTCTGATTTCCCTCCCCTGAGGGCTGCAGTTTTAGCGTCTGACAGGCTTTACCTTTATGTGAAAAGTAAGGGTGATGTTGAGAAAATAGTTAACTAAGACTGAAGTATCAAGAATTGAATCTGACATTTTTATTTAGTAGTAAGTATACCATCTGGGAAATAACAGATGTGTCTGAAATTTTTTGAAGAAGAAATAAGGTTTTTTAGAGAAGAAAGGAGCCCCACAATATGTTTGGTCCAGTTTTTTGGCACACTCCGTTTTCCATCTCTCCTATCTGATTTTAATATAGGAAGAAAGTACATGGTATAACAGGCTGCCAGGATTGTGCTGGTTATTTCTGGCATCACATCCCTGCTCCCTGTAAGGCTGAAATGAAGAATATTATGTAATTATGCTGCTTGAGTTTCTCATATAAGTTACTGTTAGTTGTTGACAAAAATAGATGCTTTAACTATTATTTCCTTGTTATGGCAAATTCTTAAATAAATGTTGCAAATATTAGATATAAACAGGAGCAAGGCATTTAAGCAAAATAAAAGAAGAAAAAAGTGTAAGGTTCTGTCTGGTGACTCTATTTTGAAACTTGGCAAGTTAAATGCTGAAAATGGAAAAGAAACAGTTTCATGGATCATTTAATATTTGCAATATATTTAAAATATGCAGAAGTTTCAATGTTTTTGATGTTTGGGATTTTCCGTGCCCTGTCTGTAGTCCTCCTCCTTCACCATAGACATTTTTGCCTTTGTCTCTTGACACTTTGCTACTCTCTAATGGCCCCTCCAGACAGCAGGAGACAGTGATACCTGCCGATGTCCCCTTGGTACATGAGCTGGGTGCCACCCTGAGGGAATGGGCACAGATTTGGCACAAGCTCTATGTGGTGAGTATTTGTTGTGACATACATTTCCTACTCACACAGTACAGACCATAATACAAATAAAGTAAGTCCTGGGTTGAATCCAGTTTTTATTCCATATGGAATAGCCAGATGTTCCCAAAATCCACACATAACAGCTGTCTGTTTGTTAGTGGCTTAATGTGCCCGATCAATGGAAAGCCATCAAGACTTTGTGGTTTGTGGTTAGTGGACAGGCCAATGCATAATACTGTTATAAATGGAGATGGGAAGACATGCTCCTTTGGGAAGAGTAAAATTCAAACTTGTATGTCCAGAAGAGACAAAGACAGCTTCTTAGATGGATTGGCCACCCTGACCATTATAAATAGACGTATCGGAAATGTACACCAGATCAGATGTGTTATTCTAAAGGATTTTTATTTTTCTTACTTGACACAGTTGCTTTATGGTGACTCTAAACTTTGCCTTAGAAGCAGAAATTAATTTAAAATGCTGGCTTGACCACAAGTAAAATGTTGATGGTCACTTCTGCATTCCCTCCCTTGACATAACTGGGTCCCCCATATTTATGTGGGGGTCTCTACTGCCCCGGCCCAAGCTGCCATGGGGATGGGGGGGTAGTAGTGGCTTGGAATACAGCTGCTGATATAGCCAGTGTACTTCTGTCATTGGTATCATAGTTTGCAAATCCTTAGGCCAGCGGTACATGTTAAAGATTTATTCCCTTTTAGATTAATTTAAATTAATAGGAAAGTAAACAAAAAAAGAAGAAATGCTCAGGTTACCAGAGATAATCCAATAAACGTGGCTTGCAAGCAACTGGGCATTCCCCATGTTTTTACAGATAAGAAGGTACAACCTGGAGCAGGTTTAATGATTATTAATAATGGCATAAAATGTCATGCTGTTAGTGTATCTGGCTGTAAAGCAAATTTTCTGTATCTATTGATAAAACTCAATAGGATTCATAGGAAAAGTTACAAATGAGAGGAGGCCATTCACCTTATCTACTCCATTTGGCTGTTAGTAGTTAATTGATCCAGGGATCTCATCCAGCTGTTTCTTGAAGCAATGAGCAAAGCAAAGCCAGCAGCCATATCACCCTGCAACTCACAACTGGCAACCCACTGAAGCTAAGCAGGTGTGAGCCTGGTCAGTACCTGGATGGGAGACCTCTTGGGAAAAAATAAGGTTGCTGCTGGAAGAGGTGTTAGTGGGGCCAGCAGGGGGAGCTCACCCTGAGGCTCATGTGGGTCCTAATGCCCCAGTGTAGTGACGGGGACACTATACTGTAAACAGGCGCTGTCCTTCAGATGAGACGTAAAACCGAGGTCCTGAATCTCTGTGGTCATTAAAATTCCCAGGGTGTTTCACGCAAAGAGTAGGGGTGTACCCCGGCGTCGTGGCCAAATTTCCCATCGGCCTTTATCAGTCACGGCCTTCTATAAATCTATAAATTGGCTTCATTACTCTGCTCTCCTCCCCACTGATCGCTGATGTGTGCTGACATCATCACTGGGGCTGGGGCTGCACATTGGTGGTGGTGAAGGGGAGTCCCCATTACCTGTAAAAGCGCTTTGAGTGGAGTGTCCAGAAAAGAGCTATATAAGTGTAAGCAATTATTATTATTATAATGAGGATTAGTAAGGCTCAGAATTGATATCGGAGATCGTCCATCTATCCGTCAAAACGGAAGAAAAGAACTTTTTTTGAAAAACTCCTATTGTGTTTTATGAAACTGCTGAGCTTGTTGCTCAAAACAAAGTTAAAACATTGAAATTGACACCCAATGCATTGAACAGTGACATGAGCAAAATACCCTTGCCAAAATACCCGTGCCTTTTCCCCCTTGGAACATTCCTTCCTCCACCCACCCCCCCTCCCCTGCATCCCACATGAAAAGCAGCGGCTGGAAATAAAAAGATGTTCAGAAGAAAATAGGAGAGTTTTTTGTTTGGCAAGTCAGTTGAACCAAAACTGCAAGGTTTGCAGCCCTGACACCCCCTCATGTTTGTCAGGCTTGCATGTGCCTTTTGTCTTCGACAGAACAACAAGACCACGCTGTTCCGGCACGTGCAGCAGATGGCCTACAGCCTTATCGAGTACCGCTCCCAGATCGTGTCGGGGACGCTGCCCAAAGATGACCTGGTGGAACTCAAGAAGAAAGTGACCGCCAAGATCGACTATGGCAACCGGTGAGAGCTCCTACCAAGATCCTGTTAAAGACTTCCTTCCTCTGATTGCACTATTTTACTGTGGGACAAAGTCTGCCTTTATTCTGCACCAATTCTGGCTGCTTCCTCTTTTAGATCACTTGGTCTCTGCTTTGCATTTTATCTGGCCCTCTCTCTTCCTCTGATTCCTTTGCCCCTTTTTTTTTCTTTATTGCAATAATCAGTAGAGGACCTGCCAATATATCTGGATATGGGAAGTCATCTGAGAGCCGCATGGATATGCCTTGTGTTGTAGGATCTTGGGGCTGGACCTTGTGGTTCGCGACGAGGTGGGGAACACGCTCGACCCAGAGTCAACCAGCACTGTCAGCCTGTTCCGCGCCCATGAGACTGCCTCGCGCAGCATTGATGACCGGATCCAGGAGGAGAAGGTGGGCACCTTCCACCACCATACCGGCCAATTCTGGGACATCTAGAGCACCTTGTAGGCAGCAGCGTTAAAACCCTGTAGCTTCTCGTCAGATCTCAGAAGCTAAGCAAGGCAGGGAACATTCTGTCCTGTAGTACTGGGATGGGAGACCTCCAAGAAAGGTTGTTGCTACAAATGGTTTGGGTGTCACCTACTGATCCATCTTCCCTTTGGAGCAGAATTTTCAAACTGCATACCCTGTGCTGTAGGAGGTGCAATTCACTGGATGAGATGTAAAACTTGGTCATTAAGCATCTTGGGACACATTTCTTAAGAGTAAGGGTGTCTTGACTAAATTCCACCTTAGGGTTACAAATCCAGCCTGCGTAAAGTCCCTTCTTATTTCAGTCGGTGAAGCAATTGTTTTCCACGCGATCTGCGGTGCAGTGGGGCTGCTGGCATGTAACAGATGCCACATATCACCCAGATGGGTGCTGCATTTTACAGGTGGCTGAAGTGGGTTCCCTCCTGTTTGTAAAGGGCCTACGGATGGCAGGTGCTATAACAAATGTTTTTCTAGATATATTTCCCACTTTTTAATTTTGAAATGTATTTATTTTCCAACATTTTTAGAGTCACTAGTTCTTAATCAGTTTGCCTCCGAGACCCATACTTGCCCAGAATTTTGCAGAGGTATTACAGATTCATCCAATGAAATGTGCTTTGTTTTTTTTCATTGTTACAACAGAGGTCTTTGCACGGGGACATCCAAATCTCCTCCATCTACTGAAATTTAGGAAGTCAAATGGTAAAAAAAAATCTTTACAGGTGTCTGCTTCAGAAGGCTAAGATCCCCCAAATTCTCTTTAAGTTGGCAGTTTTATTTCTTAGTAATCAGTCTGAGAATCTGTTCCAACCTTTTCTAAAAGATCCCAGCTTCCAGAACAAAACAAATTATGTTCTTGTGCACCTGTGAGAGAATGTCCATGTGCAGCTTTATTCTTGTTGGGTAGGCTGTTCACAATGGTGCTGTGGAGATGCCATTGAAGAGTTCTCCGTCTCTCCTTCCCAGTCTCGGCTGCAGAACCTGGAAATGCGCCGCCAGTCCCTCTTCAGTGTGGTGCACACTTACAGCCTCTTCATGAACCTCAAGAACTTTGTCTGCAACATCGGGGAGGATGCTGAGCTGCTCATGTCACTGTATGACCCTGACCGGTCTGAGTTCATCAGGTCAGAGGTCATTCCGTACATCTTCTAATAGTACTGCAAACAGGGCGTCATGGTAGAACTGTCATTATCCCAGGATATAGTAACAGGCAGGGTGCGGACACCTCTTCTTCTGAAATGATTGGGCAATTGATTCTGTATCATGACTAAGGAAAGTGGTTTCAAACAGATGGCTCAAGGTGTGTTGCTTAAACATTTAGAATCATACTGCCATTAACAGAGATTACTACATGGACGTTGACTTTTCGTTTTAAAGTGAGGAATCACCAGCTATTCATCTTTTTATACCCCGATTCTAAACCGGTTTGGCACTGTTGTGACCATCTTATCTGTACAGAGAAGATTCAAGGTATACCCCCCAGTAACAGGGTTACCATGAGAAAAAGGAGAGGTATGGCAAGATGGAGTGACTCTGGCTAATTAATAAAAAAATAACATTAGCAAATCTCTGCAGCTTGCGGGCTATTGCTTGTTGAATCCTTGAATCACTTTAAGCCCAGATTTGAACAAGTGATTTCTGCATTTTGGGGCCCAAATTGTGTTCCAGACAGATTAACTCAGTTAGGAACCGAGGATTCATAAATAACCATTACTGGGGCTAAAGAACCCTGAATGAAGGCTGCAATGAGTTATGTAAAATAGCAAAAAAAAATCATACAGTTACTTCCTTCTATTGCAGTGAGAACTTCCTGGTGCGCTGGGACAGTACTGGAATGCCCAAAGAGATCGAGAAGCTAAACAACCTGCCTGCACTCTTCACGGTAAAGAGCTCAACCCACCCCTTCCAGATGTACTGTAGTAGAAGATGATTTGCTCTGCTTTTCTCATGATATCCCTCTCTCCTTCCTAATTCTCTCACCCCCTCCCTCTTTTCACTCTCTCCTTCCCCTGGCTCCAACCCCCTCCCCTCTCTTAAATCTCCCTCTCTTTCCCTCCCATCAGGACCTGAGCAGCAGTGACCTGATCAGGCCGCGCGTCTTTCTGGTGTGTCAGATCATCCGCGTGGGCTGCATGGAGCTGAAGGAGGGCAAGAAGCACACAGGCGGGCTGCGGCGGCCCTTCGGTGTGGCAGGTGTGGTTCAAAGAAAGAGGCGATGCTCTGTCTGGCACTACAGTCCCCTCCAGTGCAAAGCAGTACAGTGCCACACTGCTACATACAAAACTGTGCTGTGTCATAGAGTTCAGTACAAAATCCATAAGGCTGGTATGACATTGTACCATGGAGTGGGACAGCATTGTCAGATCATGGATGATTCCTTTGAGAGGGTTGCTTATTTTAACACGGCAGGGTGGTGCGTCTCATTAGTGTTGGTTTCTGTATAATTGTTTTCTTTGGGCATGAGCCCTTTTACATTTCTTGAACTACAAACAGCATCCTGCTATACTACTGAATGTGTCTATGAGTAATGAAGCTGTCGGCATGAAACTTAACAACCACTAATAGCCTTATTATCGAAAAGATAAGAAAGGTAGCAAACTAGAAGAGGTCCTTTGGACAATCTGTCCCATTTAGTATTCTGAGATTCTCATGTGCTCTTATTTTTTTTATAAAAGTAAGCGATTGTTATGTTTTCAATTGATATAGGATGTTTAGAACATCATGCCTTTTGATTTTTTTTGTCTTTACTAAATAAAACTCTTTGGAAGAAATTGTGAGTAAAAATATATGTGTGAAATCTGTTCTTATCCTTAATCATATGAATATTCCAGGTTATGTCTTTTTGTCTAAATTGTGATAGTTCTGGAACATCTGTGTTGATTTGAATGATACTTCATTCTCATTTCCCCTAGTGAAATGCTGAATAAGGATCTAATTGCAGTTGCTTGTAAATCAATGCAACAAATATCCTTTGTCCTCTATGAGTTTTATTGAACTTGTTTTATTCATAAAAGCATTAACTATTAAATGTTGTTAATAGTTTTGTTTGAGATTTTTCGAATTCCTTTATTCTACTCCAGTTCATTCTCAAGGCTCACAAAAGGCTACACCTTGTGTTTCCCTTACTAAAAGAATGAAAAGGTAATTAATTGCTCCCTGCCTCTCAGACAAGGATATCATTTCACAATAGTTGGGCAGGAAGCAATAATTTCTGCTGCCACCTGTTTGGAGATTAAATGAACCAGACCTAAGTGGAAAGTGGAGGGGGGGAGCTTGTTTCACTCATCTGTTTCTCTGTCGAGGGAGAAAGCAAAGCCCCGAGGCTAGACATATCATGGTTTCTCGACTTTGTAACGTAAGGCCAAGCTACTCAATTTCTGCATGTTTGATCCTTTGTTGTGCGTCACCTGATCCGTCTGAATGTGGGAGCAGATGTAGAGAGAGGATGCCTAGGCCATTCTAGGCAGGGAGGTGGCAGGTGTTTGCCCTGGCTTCATATCACTTGTGAGGGACTGGTCTATGTGGAGATCAGGACCTTGGAGCTGTGTGCTGAACCCTGCGATTGAAAGATTGAAGTCCCATACACAGGGAATCATGCACAACTATGTGTCATTGCAGGACATTGATCTGACGTCACTTCAAGTTGTTTTTTGACCAGTACCTAACATGGCTGGGCATCTTGTTACAGTAATGTTCCTATCTTGGTTCTTAAAGTCTTATCTCAGTATAATATTAAATATAATTTCCATTGGGGTGTTATTTTTGTTTTGGTGATCAAGAAGCAATTCATTGGAATTAACTTTATCAGTACCTCTTAGGATTTGCATACTACTATCACAGAAGGCCACAGTGTTCTCTGGTTTTTGTTCTATCTGAAGTCTGACTGACTTATTTGGATTATTCCTGATCTCCACTTATTGACTATTGAAGGTCAATATATTGGTATACCTGTATGTAGAGGTTTAAACCTTCTTCATTCCTGGGTGTCTAGTATCTTGCTCAGGATGACACAGTAAGCCAGTGGCTGAAACGTGCCTGTGTTCTGAACCTTATTAGAGAGACCACAGTTCCCACGGAGCAAGAGACGAACATTTTGGAGGTGATAATTTAGTGACCAGGGTTTTTTATTTTGTTTGCAGTGATGGACATCACGGACATTGCTCATGGGAAAGTGGACGATGAAGAGAAGCAGCATTTCATCCCTTTCCAGCAGTGAGTCCCTGTGCCCGGTGAAATGTCCTCAGACTGGAATGCTGGAGCCTAGGAATGGATTATGCCTGATTTTGAATGTAGTGGATACCTGTAAAGACTGCTACTTTGTAGCTATGCTTATGTAGGCTGTAAATAAGTTTCTACACATTGGGAACATACCAGAAAGTTTTGAGTTAGGTCTGGCCTAACCCATAAGATCTGTGTTTAGAATGATCTTGGATTGCTTTTCATTGAACTGTGTGACGGTAAGTCTACAGCCTACAGTAGTCAGAGGGCATGTTCAGTTTGACTGTAATGGTGAAGCAAGATTTGATAGGGTGGAGGATTAGGATGTGGACCAGCATGTTGCCTTAATGATGTCTTAATTATCTGTGAGGTACAGCGTGATTCCAGCCCTGCTCAGACTGCTCCCATGACCAACCTGCTTTGTACCAGAGAAATGTGTTTGTTGGCACGTTGTTCCAGTGGTTTGGCAGTATTTGCTCCTTCCTTTTTTCCCTCTCCCCGTCTGGCTCCCGCACTGTCATTACACTCTCTCTCCCACCTTCTTCCTTGCTCTTCTTCTCCCTGACTCTCTCTCTTACACTCCTTCTGTTTTTCTCTCTCTGTGCGCCTTGCTTTCGTTCTTTCCCAGGATTGCCATGGAGACCTATATCCGTCAGAGACAACTCATCATGTCCCCACTCATTCCCTCCAGAGTAATCGGGGAGAATGAGCCCCTGACCTCCGTCTTCAACAAGGTCATCGCCAGTCGAGATGTCAACCACAAGGGTCAAGGTGGGGAGTCTAATAAGTCAGATAGGATTGGAATTCCTACTGTCTGCAACTCCCTGCTCACAAACCTACTGCTTCACACCGTCAGGCACATGTTTCTCGTGCTTTCACCATGCTTTGTTGTGTTCAGCCAGCATGGTGCTTTTCTGCATTGTACTAAGGTATTACTACAGTCTCATTTGGCGTTCCCCAGGGTTCTGGTCTTGGTCCCATTATATTGTCTGTGTGTTTCCACTGGGTCACAGTCATCCTAGATAAGGTATCAGTTCTAATTTCTCTGGTGATGGCTCCTACCTGATTTCTCTTTGCATAAAGCCTAAAATTAATCAAGCTTTATCTTCCTTGTCACACTGCTTAGATTGTTAAATTTGGATAAACAATTACCCAAATGTTTTTCAGCTGATTTTTGATTAAATTAGTGGTTCCACTCTACATATCAGCTCAGCATATGTGTCAGCTTTAGTTTGACTATTGTAGGCCGTGGAAACAGTCCAAGCACTCAGGTCAGGAATCTTGGTGTCAACATTAATCTGAGATTTGCATCTGAGGATAATCTTTGCAGTGTTATAAATGAGTCTTTTTTTTCCTTTGCGCATCATTGCTCATGTCTGTTCATATATCTCCTAGTTTGCTACAGGGAAGCTGATGCATGCTTATGTTTCTGCCAGGCTTGGTGGTTGGAATTCAATGCTTGCTGGTGTATCCAAACATGTCGGTAACAAATTGAAATATGATCAGAACTCAGGTGCTTGGATCTAAGTTAAAACTACAATTCATAATTATCTTCTTTCCTATTTTAACTTCATTGCACTGGTTCTGTCTGGGATCTGTCATTCACTCAATGCCAAACCTTGTGAAACTGCTTTCTGTTTTGTTGCAGAAAGGCTGTGGAATGATCTCCCAGCCCACTTTAGAGCTTGCATGTCATTCATCTCATTTAAATTCTTAAATCTTACTCTTAATTTTTTTAAATTCTTTAATTTATTGTATTAATAATGAACTTTTGGCTACGAAAACAACAGCAGTTAGAGAAATTGGTTAGAAATGTTCAAAAATTATAATTGGTGCTGATCTTTTTTCACATCTGTCCTTCCAGGGCTGTTTGTCACTCTGAAGCTTCTCCCAGGAGATTTGTCTCAGGTTCAGAAGGATTACCCCCATTTTGTGGATAGGACAACTGCCATAGTGAGGAAAATGGGCTTCCCTGAAATCATTCTTCCAGGTGGGCCCCACTGTCAGAGCTACAACGTTTAAAAATGAAGGTTAGAGGCCTCCAGAAGTGATTCCAGTTGTGCATGAGCATCTACGACCTGGAGATCCAGCTAGCTTTAAAATCCATGATGAGCCTTTTCGTCCTGGAGATCGCAGCCATTTTTCAGCTATGAGATTCTATATCTTGAAGATTACAGCTGTGAGAAACTGAAATAGAAACCTCCTAGAGCAGGGATCTGCAGCCCTGGCCCTGGGGAGCCCCAACCCAGCGGGTTTTGTAGATCAGCATTAAATTATCAATTTCCAAAGATGTAGAACAGTTCCATTTTGATCAATTCAACAGATGATTTGTTAAATGGTGTAATTTAGATATAATTTAGGTTTAAAATCTAATTACTCTTCGTCCCTCAAAGTCCAGCGTTCACTTATTTTTACTTGCTTGATTTCTCAGGTGTTGCCAGTGTTTGAAAGCAGGCAACCTATAAGACTAATTGAATAGAGACCCCTGTCCTGGAACACGATGATCACAAGTGATTCAGGCCCCTGATTCAAGGCCACATACTACAACAGGGATGGGCGATCTTGATCCTGGAGGGACCATGCGCCCTGCATGCTTCAGCCAGCTATTAATATTTACCTAAATAGACCAATTGAACAGCTTTTCTCAGCTCTTAGGTGCTGGTGTTCAGAGAGGATATATAAAATATATTCCTGTCCTCTATTCATGCAAAAAAACAGGTTACTGTATAACGTCTCCTTTTGTCTGCCATTTTATAATAATAATAATAAACTTTATTTTATATAGCGCCTTTAAAGGTGGCTTCTCTAAGCGCTTTACAGAATGACAACAACAATAAATAAAAATAATACACAAGATAAAACACAATTGCAATATATAGAGGAGACCGTGGATGGTGGTACTAAGAAAGGCAGAGGGGTGAAGAATGGAACCAGTTAACTAAAGGCTCTTCTAAAGAAAGTTTAGAGTTTTGAGTCTGGATTTGAAGGAGTTTAGAGAAGGTGACTCTCTGATATCCTTGGGGAGAGAGTTCAAGAGCTTGGGGGCATAACAGAGAAGGCCCTGTCACCCATACAATGTAGGTGGGCTTGGGGGACAGTTAAGAGACTAGAATTAGAAGAGCGAAGGTTGCGAGGTGAGAAGTAGGGTGATAATAGTTCAGACAGGTACTGTGGTGCCAAGCCATGCAGAGCCTTATAGGTGAGCATGAGGATTTTAAAGTCCACACGGAATTTGACAGAAAGCCAGTGCAAGGACTCCAGGATAGGAGTAATGTGATCACTTGCACTAGACCTGGTCAGCACTCTGGCTGCTGAATTTTGGAGATACTGCAGTTTGTTCAAAGTAGATTTAGATACCCCAGCGAGTAGAGCATTACAGTAGTCAATTTGAGAGAACACAAATGCATTGATCAGCTTAGTGATAGCATAGGGCGTAGTCAAGTGATATTTCTGAGGTGAAAAAAAGGATGTTTTGACAATATGCTGCACATGTGGGTTGAATGTTAAGCCAGAATCATATATCACCCCAAGGTTTTTCAGTTTAGACTGAAGCTTGAGTACAGAACCATCTACAGATAGGGTTACAGGATTGGCTTTACGAAGTTGATTGGGGGTGCCAATAAGCATGACTTCAGTCTTGTCACAGTTAAGATGAAGGAAATTTTGAGCCATCCAAGTTTTTATGTCAGAGATGCAATTAGATAGAATAGAGACAGTCACATCAGTGTCAGGTTTGGTATGGGTACAGTATATTTGAGTGTCATCAGCGTAGAAATGATAGCTGAGGCCATGTGATCTTAAAAGCTCACTTTATTAAAGCTCATTTTATTACTAGGCTGGTATTACACACTCGATCTCAATGTTAAGACTTTTTGCGTATTTTAAGATTTCATAAGGGGGGGCACAACCCAAAATGTTAACATTTGATATTCTAGGAAACGTGCGCAATGACATCTACGTGACGCTGGTGCAGGGCGAGTTTGATCGGGGTAAGAAGAAGACACCCAAAAACGTGGAGGTGATAATGAGCGTGATGGATGAAGAAGGACTGCCCATGGAGGTGAACAGAAACCCTCTCCGTGAATGCTCTCGTCTTCTAGACCCCATTCTGTCTCCAGGACACTGCACAGTGACCCCCTTAAAGTTTTTCATGACTGAAGAACAGGCCAGCCGTGCAAGCTTTATAGCCATGTTCAAGTATTGAACAACAATCACAACTAATTCAGCCCATGATTGGTTCATTGAAAGAGTCTGACAGCTGGGCTGCAGAATGTGAATCTGTCCAGGAGCAGAGTTGGGGATGAATCCTTAAGCTACAGTGTTTCCCATCACCCTGCTCACTCTTCCCGTTTTCTCACTTTCCCAAACAGACATGGACCCCTCTTCTTTTTCTGAACCCTAGATTCCAGGCTCCTTACGCAGAGTGTGATCAGATTTTGAATGTCTTTTTAATGTCTGCCTTATCTTTATATACTAAAAAGAAAACAGACACCTTAAATTAAGCTAATCCTCAGCTGACTTCTTGAATTAAGCTCCTTTGTGCCTTTTCAAATTACCTTCGAATATGTGAAAATGTATCCACATGCGTGAAGGAATTTAAATCTTGTAGTTCTTTTTCCTGCCCTTATCGGTAATACAGCAACTCTTGACACTTGTTTATTGCTGTCATAGTAGCTAGTTTATACAGTTTTAATAATACACTCCTTTTTCAGGGTAAAGGGTTTAAACTCTTTTGGGGAAAAAAAGTAATCCATTAAAGTAAAAATTACTTGTACAAAAGATTACTTTCCTAATTTAGCAAAATAAAAGAATAAAAAGTCATCACGTAGTTCCTATGTTAAATTCTTAGAACCAATTTCTCCCTTTCTCATTTAAAAATGTTCTAGTTAAATTCTATAGTTATTATAGAAGTTAAACTTCTATCTGTAATGGATCACATTTTAAACGGCGCTTTCCTCAGCAGTGGGTTAGAGTATTGTTTTATTGTTCTTTGATGCAGCTGTCAGTAAAAAACAACAACAATTTTCAACATTTTGCAGAGGTTACTTTGCAACCACAGCAGTTTGTTACTTGTCTGTAACCCATTGGCTATAAAAGGCAGAGCTTTAGGAGGCTGAGATATGGTCTCTGTCTGTAAATGGGTGCAGTGGGCTCAGCTGAGGAGGCTGCTGTGAAGTGTTGTGTGGTCAACGTGTGGTGCTTGATGCTGGACAGAGATCTGAATGTGAATTGGAAGAAGGTGTCCCTTTGATCCAGTGGTTTCATTCCAAATCAAACCAAACACACAGCATGTTAGAGAATGCGGGGAATTCTTTTGAAATCATAGCGTAAATCACATTTATGCAAAACGAGAGGAGGAAGCAGACGGCGAGCTGCTGCCAGCAGCTGTTAATCGGTGCTCAGATTTTCTCTTCCTTCTCCGACAGAAAGCCATTTTTCCTGGGGCTGGCTATGATGGAATTACGGAGTATAAGTCAGTCATTTACTACCAAGTCAAGCAGCCCTGCTGGAATGAGACCGTCAAGGTAGGCAGAAATCAGGATAAGCTCTGCATTCCATAAATGCCAAATTACTCATTTCATAATGAGGCTTGTTCACGGAGGAACTTTATGGATTTCTGTTGGTGACCACTTTTTTTTTTGTAAACACAATTTTGCATATGCAGTGTATACGTGTCCTGCACACATTGGGGGCAGTTCTCACTCATACTACCCTAAAAATTGGTTGCATGATTCTTCTGTAAGACTGAAGTGAAAATTAGAATGAAACTGGAGAAAGGATTTGTGGATTGAGGATCTGTATGCACAGCACTAGGACAGCAATAGAAATGTGAAGCTGTTCCCACTGATGTTGTAGCACTCATGCGTGTGATTCCTGATGTCTCTGTCTATTGGGTGCAATTCTCCAGGCCAGTCCGACATCTCACATTGCTTCCCTGTTCTGGGCTCCCAGGTGGCAATTCCCATTGAAGATGTGTGCCGATGCCATCTGAGGCTGATGTTCCGGCACCGATCCTCACAGGACTGTGAGTTCCCTGCTCCCCTCCATCTCCCTCAGCAAGCTCAGGGTTGAACATGCAGGTTTTAACTCGCAGCAGGAACAAGAAGGGCTTCACTGTAGTGAATAAGAGGAAGTTCTAAACACAAAGTCTATGATTGTTACACCACAGTACTTTATTTAAACGGCTACAAAGGGTGGTGTGATGACTTACAAGCCAATTGGGTGGAGAGGACCAAAATAATATCGTAGGCAAAAACACAGTACACTCATCCCTCACTTGTCAAGCCCAATTCATTCTGTAAAATAAACTTGTTAGTGAAATTTTGCATAGCGAGAATTAAATTCACATTACATGCAAAAGCATGAGATATGGTTCCCAAGTCTAGAAAAACACATAATATAAGTTATTTTCTAGCTAGCTTAGTACTTCAGCATCAAATTCAGCACTCCTCCTCGTGTGTGGTAATCATACTCAACCTGTCCCTGTCCTACTGACACTAGGAACAGAAATCTTTTAACACTATCAGCTCTGTATGACGCGGACACAGTGAGCATGGAACAAACTAGAAATCCAAAGAAAACAAAAACATTTTCAATTCCTTAATCTTAAAGTCTTCCGCTAGTCTTTTGTTAAAGGAATTTAAGTGACAAGTGAATTCTCACCCAAACCAGAGCTGTGGCTCAGTCAGAGTAGAGGCTTGAGTCTCAATGTGATTGCTCAAGACCAAAAAAAACAAACAAGAGAGTGCTTTTCTGTATGGCAGCCTTCTCCTGTCTCAATAAGACACAGTGGCTTTCTTCTTTTGAACACAGAACGTCTTAACATCAGTGGGTTTTTGTCCTCTATGGATTGGATGGCTTTTTCAGAGGTTGTGTACAATGGCGATCATCTGGGGTTCAAATGACAATGAATTTGCACTAAAAGAGAGCTTATGAGAAGTGGTCTGGTGAGAGTGAAAATTGAGCTTGTATAGTGTACCTACATTCCCGTTTCTCAGGTCTTGAATGAGCAAAAACTCATAAATAGGTTGTTCCCTGAGCGCGGGGTGAGAGTAGTGTTGAAAACAGATGTTCTGCACGTGGTGAATGAAGTCAAGTGATCGCTGAGGATAACACACTGTCTAAATGCCCTGTGGGTCAGAGAGTCATCTAGAGGTGTGCAGATGTTGCCCTGACAGCATTTTCAATCTCCAGCAAGGGACAAGTCAGAGAAGCCGTTTGGCATGGCCTTCGTCAGACTGATGAAAGCAGACGGAACCACACTGCGAGATGGGAAGCACGACCTCATTGTGTATAAGGTGCAGTTCACTGATTAAAAACATGTTTTGCACGTTCTGTCACGCAGCTGCCAGGATCTGTTTTGACTTCCTTGTCGTTTTGCAGATTTTATTTTCTCACTATTTTTGATACGCAGAAGGCAGTCCTTTGCAGATTTCTTCTTTTTTTTTCCTAGAACGAAGAACGTCTGAGCACTGACAGTTACTATCCTAACCCTATCTAAAGCGGAGTCATGCACCAGGAGAGTGCTTTCTGCCCAGTTGACGGGGGTTTTAACAGTGGCAGGGCAATCTTAGCTCAGTCAGGTGAATGAAAAGGATCAGAAGACAGAAGTCAAGTTTTCTTAGTAATCTGGTAAGAGAGTCAGTGGTAGGGCTGGAGCTTGAACCATGAACCTCCTGGAAACAAGTCCTTTACCTTAACCACTGGACCAGCTAGGATCTGTCAGTAAAGCCATCCAGAGCCCTATCATGACTGATCTGTGTTGTAAATGCAGGGTGATGTAAAAAAGGCAGAGGATGCCAAGACCTACCTGAGCCTGCCTGGGACCTGGGCTGAGGTGGAAGAGAAGGACAAACAGTCTGGGAAGCCCTTCCAGAACTCCAGCATCATTCCTGTCACCAAAGACAGCTTCCAAATCACCACGCTCACCTGCTCCACCAAACTGACCCAGAACGGTGAGCTGAATTTATGAACATACCCAAAATGACTAACCCTCAGACAGAATGATGCACACTGTGATAGATAACAAGGAGTGATTTTTTTTATTTTTTTAGCAGATCTTTTTGAAGCATTTAACCTCAGAATGAATTTAACCTAGTTTTCTCAGGTTGTGACCATCACATAAAATCATAAGGATTTCAAATGACATGAAGGAACACAGGGTACTGGCATCAAAAGTGTGGCTAGGTAGCTTGTTCCACACTCCAACAACCCTGTGTGTAAAGAAGCACCTCCCTTTCTTAGTCTTCCACATAGTTTTCTTCCAATGGTATAAAATGGACTAAGGCACAACAGCTTGGGCAATCAAAATGGCTGTTTTGTGGTGTGGACTGTACTCAAGTTTAAAAAAAAACTTATAAGAAGTGTGAAATTACAGTGGTGATCCTACACAGGGGAAGGGACTGACTGCTTGTAATGTCTGTTTCTCTCAGTGGACCTTCTGGGGCTCTTGAATTGGCGCTCTAACCCTCAGGACTTGGAGCAGACACTACAGAGGCTGATGGAGGTGGAGGGGAGTGAAATTGTCAAGGTGAGTGAGTTGGATGGCAGGGCATGGATAGGCACACAGAGTTTAATACTGGACATGTTCTGCCGCCACACACATTTAAACGCTAAGGAATTAAAACATTTAGAAAGTCTTTAAACTTGATGCCTAACTTATGGGCAGTCAGCTATGAAGAAGAATGAAATATCCTATCCATCCTTCCATTTTCTGACTGCTTTATCCAATATCGCATCGCAGGGGAGCCGGAGCCTGTCCACAGGCACAAGGCTGGAATGCTACTCCATCTCAGGGCACACATAGACACAAACACACATGCCAGGGCCAGTTTTGCCAGTTAACCTATCTGTATGTCTTTGAACTGTGGGTGAAGAAAACCCATACAATCATGGGGAAAACATAAAACCCAGCGCAGATAGCACCCCAGGAATCGAACCCAGGGCCTCAGTGCTGCGAGGCAGCAATGCTAAGTACAGCACAGTGCTGCCCATGACATACGCTAATGTTGTGTGTCTTTCCGCTTTGAAGCTTTTGTTAAGTCTTTATTTTAACATATCCTTTCCAAGCTCGGAACTTGTATCCATGGGCTTTGTGGCTGTTGTGGGTTTAGAGTGCTAACCACTGTTGCATGGGGCCTGTTAAATGTCAAAGATGGCTCTAACATTGGAGGGCGCCGGTACCCTGACTCTCTTTTTGCCCACAGTTTCTGCAGGACACTCTGGACGCCCTCTTCAATATCATGATGGTGACATCCGAGAAGGAGACCTACGACAAGCTGGTGTTTAATGCCTTGGTGAGTAGGAGTATGCACTCTCTGTATTAAGCAGAAACTGAAGCACGCAGGTGGGTTTAGTAATGGAATGCAGGCTAAGTCTGATCCCATGTTTCTCCTTTGTACTTTGGTGTCAAGAGTCACCTGCAAAAATCTAAGTAGCTGTAAGAGGTATAAGGCATATTAAGTATGAGGAAGAAGTCTTATTGTGTTCATTAATCCTGTTAGATGACATTGACTACAGAGCTTATTCAGGTGTGGTCCAACTTTCTTGGAATGGGTTTACCTAGGCCACAGACAGGTTCAGGTTCAGGTGAGTTAGAAAATCAGGGCATTTTCTTAAGCCTGGAACACACAAGCGCATTAATTTGCCTCACTGTCCAGATGTCTCCCAGACACAGTGCCATTTAACAGGTGCTTAGGCTCAGGGTGACAGCCAATGTCAGTATCTTGTCTTCAATGATACAAGAGAGAGTATCATTCAAAGCACAATACTCACCCTTCCCCCCTCCTTGTCTCTTGACTCCACTCTCTTTTCTTTCTTCTTCGACATACTGTAAGCTCCCTAATAATTAATGAATTTCTTCCTCCTCTTTCCCTGTTGTCACAGAGGTTCGAAGTCTTTGCCAGATACAGCTCTGCTTCTTTTTTATCCTTGAGAAGGGCCAGTGTGACAGATCTGATTAGGGCTTTTTGCGGTTGACACGTTGGTGTGTTGCAATCCGCTGTGGAGTAAAACAAGAAGACGTGAAGTGACACAACCCACATGTGGTCCCAAGCTTAGTAAAACCATTTTTGTAAAATGTGTAAGCCATGTCTTCAAATGTAGTGCTAACTCTTGTCTGAACCACTTTTTTTGTTGCTGTATTCGATCCTGAACTTTATTCGAACTCCTGAATTGCGTGGGAAACAGACTGCAGATATCTTTGATTTGATATATGAACTAGATCCATTCCTTTTTAGTCTTGAACTGAGATAACTGAGGGCACCTGGTACAAGTATTCAGAATCCTCAAAGGCATAAAGGAAGTCAACCCTTTGTATTTCTTCAGTATTGACAGTGAAACATGAACCAGAGGGCAGAAGTGGAAAACCATATAGGAAAAACATTTAAAAGCTGGAATAGGAGGCACTTCTTAGCCCAAAGTTATGTGGGAGTGTCAAGCCTTCTGAAGCTGACATCCTGCTTTCTTAAAGAAATGGCAAGATCCTTGGATCTAATAATTACCAAAACGGGCTAGATAAGCCAAATGGCACTCCTCCTTTGTATCCTTGGTTATAATAATAATAATAATAATAATAATAATAATAATAATAATAATAATAATAATAATAATAATCATATATAGCGCTTTTCTGGACACTCCACTCAAAACGCTTTACAGGTAATGGGTACTCCCCTCCACCACCACCAGTGTGCAGCCCCTCCTGGATGATGTGATGGCAGCCATAGTGCATCAGAACGCTCACCACACATCAGCTCTCAGTGGGGACTGTTCTGTACAGCATAAGAATCTGAAACGCTCAGGAGCTTTGAGTATGGCATGCTAAAGGGTTGGGTTTCTAGCCAAATACATCACTTCTAGGATAGCCTTGAAAACTGTTGTCTGCTCCAATGCAAACCACTGCACTATTTCTAACACAAGCTATAGTCAAGTGTGTAATCTGAGTTGGTTTTTTTCTAGCTGGATTTGAAGCTCCAATCTTTTGCAGGCAATTAATTACAGGCCTTATACTTTGATGCTCTTACTGGGCCACAGTGGGTACAATCTTACGGTTGCTGTCATTGGGTCGGGTCTGCGTCGAGTCAGGACCAGCTCTGCACCTGTAAAACACCTGTAACACCTGGGTGATGTAAAAGATTTTCAGTACAGTAGGCCTAACCTGACAAAAGTCTTAAGTATTTGCAAGTGCAGTATATTTAGACCATTGAGAACAAGTACTTCAAAATAGCATCATGGCACGAATTCTGATCTGCACTGATTCTGTCGCTGCAGGTGTTCATCATCACGCTGATAGGAGACATTAAGTTCCAGCACTTCAACCCTGTTCTGGAGACCTACATCTACAAGCACTTCAGTGCCACGCTGGCGTTCGCGTGAGTTTCTTTCCCATGGGGGCGGTCTTGAAAACGTGCTTTAATAATAATTCCTTACACTTATCTAATGCTTTTCTGGACACTCCAAAGCGCTTTACTGGCAATGGGGACTCTCGTCCGCCTCTAGTGCTCCAGTACGCTCACCACACATCAGCTATGGATGTACATCAGCTAGGAGAACAGTTATTAAGCCAATTCATAGATGCTATATACAAATGACCATAGGAGAGAATTTTAATGGTCAAATAGAGGTAGTTTCACAGTTATCCGGTGTTTATTTAATGTATAATGAGTTGCATAATGAGTGGATGAGACATGATTTGCGAATACAGCTGTTCAGTTTTTTCTAAGCAGGAAATTTGTAAAACAAAATTATGACATCCTAGTGTTTTTAGAAAAGTTTTATAAACTTCTAGGCAATATAGAAATTGAGACAAAAGGGGCATTTAAAACGAATAACTTCTTATGTTTATTTAGTGCTTTACCCCACAGTAGTTCACACAGCCCCACCTGGATGATACCCAGCAGCCATTCTGCACCAGCAGCACCAAAATGAGAAATTCCTTTATCATCTGGATTAAAGGTGACATTTAGGGAGACTAGGCTGTGGAGGACCAGAGTCAATATTAGCCTGGACACCAGGGAAAACACCCTGCTGCTCTACTCTTACAAACAGTGCCGTGGGATCTTTCATGTCCAATTAGTCACATGTCTCCCGTGCCAGTACTGACCAGGTCCAACCATGCTTAGCTTCCAGGATCTGACAAGATCAGGCTGGAAAATGGTAGCAGTGCTGTTTAAAACTGACCAAAATACTGGAAAATATCTCTTCCATTTTAATTTGACATTCACCTGAGCGGTTGACACTACAATTGCTTGATTGAACCACTGATGCAGGCTCTCCTTTCTCCTACAGGAAGCTGACCAAGGTGCTGAATTTCTATGTGGGGAATGCCGAAGACCCCAAGCTGACAGAATTTCTCTACTCCGCTCTCAAAGCCCTGAAATACCTCTTCCGTTTCATTGTACAATCACGAGTCCTCTACCTCAGGTCAGTTGGTCTCCATGTGACATCCTGCAAATTTTTGTACCTTGCAAAAGAATTTACCATGTATAGTTACAGACCTGTTACAAAGTGAGACTAACTGCAGTTACAGTCCTTAGTTCATAAACTCCTCAGATATTTATGGTATTGATTTACAGGTATTGAAAGTACTTAGAAACAGGAGGTCATTGTTTTTAATGTAAAGCTACCAAATTGATTTGAAATCTGTGTTATATAAAACACTGAATATATAAGTCACATATTCCAGTAATAACTTACCACTTTGATTTTAGTAAAAGAAGCATTGATGAAGGTTTTTGAGCATCACTGTGTTTAGCATTGCTGCTTTGAAGCACTTGGACTCCTGGTTTAATTCCTGGGATGCTATCTGCATGGAGTTTGTAAAATTCTCTCCCTGTTTGTGTGGGTTTCCTCTGGGTGATCCAGTTTCCTCCCACAGTCCAAAGACATGTTTATAGGTTAAGAGTCTTCTGGGAAAATTGGCCTGGTGTGAGTGTGTGTCCTATGATGGACAGGTGTCACATCCAGGGTGTGGATGCCTTGTGCCTGCTGCTTGCCGGAAAAGGCTCTGGCTCCCCTACAAGGATAATGAGGAATTTTGCAGGGAATTAAAGATGACAGCATTTTTGGGAGTATGCTAATGCTTTGTACTTGTTTTCACATAAAGTGTCAAAATATGTATTTGTGCTCAGGAATGCTGTAGTCATTCTAGCTTTGCTGTGTGAGCTTTGGGATTACTGTGATGAACTCGATGGAAGGAATAATCTCTCCTGTGTTTTACAAACTTTGTTTCTTTGTGTGCCTCTCAGATTTTATGGGAACAACGAAAACGGAGACGAGTTTTGTAACTCCATTCACACTCTCTTCTTATCCTTCAATAACCTGATGGACCGGCCGCTGGACGAGGGTGTGAAAATCAAGGTGAGTTTGGAGGAACAGCTGCACTAGGACTGCAAGTCAGAAATTATTGAGCCTCTGGACTGTAGTGCTTCAACTGAAGATTACAAAACTGAGCAAAAAGCATGAAATCGGTGCATAGTAAATGAAGAATCATATGCTGGTGTCTGGTGTGTGTGCTGTTAGCTGCTTTTTACCTCAAAGAATTATGGGAGTATGGAACAAGCTACTCAGCCATGTTGTTGAAATCAATACAATGATTTTTTTCAAGAAACAGCTGTTAAGAACCAGTAAGTTTCTAACTACCAAAAGGGTTAGATGTTCCAAACGTCTCCTTTTCTTTGTATCTCTTCTTATGTCTCTGGGGTTCTTATCCCCCTCCTGACTGTTCTCTCTTCTCTGCAGGGCGCTATATTGAAATACCTCCCAACCATCATCAACGATGTCCAACATGTCTTTGAGCCCGTAGAACTCAGGTAATTCTGCAAATGAATGTTGCGATTCAGAAGCCAGTAAAAATGATTTATTTTGGAATTATCTTAAATGGTAGGTGTGTTACCCAAGCCTTAAATAGACCTCTGCTCTCACCAGTGAAGGTTCTGGATTCATCCAGCCCTTGGTCACACATTGTAGAGATTTGTAGAGACTTGTAGAGACAAACTATCTGTCCACACTGGTGCTGCAGAATCGCTTTCAACAGTGCGCACCCCGGGACATGGAGCAGTGGGGTTCATTTTCTTGTTCTGAAAGACGCATTGTGAGCCAGTAACAAAGCTTAAGAACATAAGAAAGGTTTAAAAAGAAGGGAGGCCGTTTGAACTGTTTGATCCAAGGATCTCATACAGCTGTTTCTTGAAAGAAGCTAGGATATCAGCTTCAACAACATGGAGTTTCATAATCTCACAACCATCTCTGTAAAGATGTACCTGCTGTTTTTGGCTTTAAATATACTTTCACATAGTTTCCACTTGTGTCCTCTGGTTCGTGTTTCCCTGTTAATTCTGAATAAGTTCGCTGGGTTGACTTTGTGGTCCCTCTTACTGTTCTCTTTTCGGGACTAAAAAGGATCTTCTTTTAGCCTGTCAGTACAGAACATTCCTTTAAGTCTTGGAATATATAATCATACCCCTGGGGGTGTACCTAGAACAGTGCACTCCATAAACTTAAGCGTATCAGTTTTACACATAAGACGTTTTTGGTACATTTTTTTTTGGTAAGACGTTTTGGGGCAGGGGGATTACACTGACGCTTCTGTGTCCCCAGGTGGAATACTGATAGACACAGGTAATCTTTCATCCCCACTGTTTTATCTCTTTCAAACAAAGTATCATAACTGTCTTCTCCCTTATCTTGCTGTAACACTGTTGCACTGACTTCTTGGCTGAAGTGAAGTGAATTGAGAGCTTTGCATAAGAAACAAACAACAACTTTTGTTCTGGCCATGATTTCAGTTATACATTTCATATGTAAAAAAACCAACTTGCAAATGTTCCGATTCATGTATTAGTTTAAGGTCTCAATTAATTTTTAAATGAATTTGGAATGAATTGAATTATATTAAGAGTGCTAAAATGAAGGTTAAGTGCTGTGTTTACAACATAGTGTAAAGTAGTTCAGTAGGTTTATGTAGTCTGTGCCGAATGCTGCCTTGTGATTTGATTGTTGGAACAACGTATTTGCGAAGTATCAGGTAACAGAATTCCAGCCCTGCTCAGAGCAATATATTTGTGAATCTGCAGATAAAAAATAAGGCACACCTGTATCCAATTTCTCTTCTCTGGATTGTTTGTAGGACATCATTATTGTTTCTCTAATATGGTGACCAAAACCATGAATAAAACTGCCATCTTACAAGTGCATTTTACAATCTGAATGTAACTTCCCTTAATTTGTATTGTATGCTTTTAACTGTATATTATAAAATGTTGTTAGCCTTTTTTATTGCTAGGGTTTGTACAAGGAAGTTCTCTATAAGAGTGCCTTTGTTTTAACCAGTGTGGCATTCTTTTAGTATCTGTGTTCTTTTCTAATGAGTACATTAATACTTACCCTCCTTTGTGTGCTCTTAGGTTTACATGTTCATTATTCTGCTTGTTATAGTAAATGAAGTAAATTAGTTATAGATTTTATAATAAGTGATCAGCAGTTGGTGACTCAAAAGCGAGTGGTCTGGAACTGGGCATGGTTGAGGAAACTCTGATTTAAAGGTTTTGCTCTTGAAAAGAGGTGTTGCATTCAATAAAAATCTGAGTCTTACCGGTGGTTAAATGAGAAAACTTGCTTGATTTAAAGTCATTGATACAACTTAACTTTTTGAGCATAAGATCTGAATTGCTGTGAGCAGTGGGCGATCCTGTATCATCAACTATTGGCAAGCACACTAACAGACGTGCTCTTTAAAGACCCTTCTCCTATCTCATTTTGCTTGACCTCTCTGATTGTTGTGGTGTCTCCGGGGGAAAGTTTATGTAAATGAAAGTAGTACTCACACCACACTTTTCTTTCCTGAGTTTCATGGCATTTCGTCTTCCAACTCTCTTCCAAATACAGTCCATAATCCGTTCCCTTAATCCTGATCCGATCCGAGTTCCTAAAGTCCGTAATAAAGCCAGTCTGCGATGTATCCTTATCTCCTTTCAGTAGTCCGTTATTCTTTAGCCCGATCTTAACATGCACCTCTTTCCTTTCTTTTCCTCCAAACCGCATTCACCGTATCGGCTTCCACCCTGTTCACTGCCTCCGGGGCACTTATATTTCGGTTCCTGATGCGGCTCAGCTGTGTCTCATTGTTTCTTAGGGTAGACCCTTTCCATTTACTGGTCAGCTGATTCTTTTTGGCCGCCATCTTGCTAAGGTCCATCTCTAGTATTTTCAGTGTTTCGTTCCGGAAATACCTGTTAGAGATGACCCTTGCCCGGGTCCTCTTACACTGTGTAGGCTTATCTTTCTCTGTGTCTGTTTCCTCCAGTGTTCTGCTGACCAAATTCATTGAGAGCATCCCAGACTTCCAGCTGGTGCGCCAGAAATTGGGCTGTATGTGCAAGATAGTGGAAAGTGACCTCTTCAGACAGCCAGGTGAGCCCCGGGTGATACCTGCTCGAACCTGCGTCAGCACACTGCTCAGCGATCTGAGTCACGTCGTGCAAGCACGCGCATCCTGGATCAGCATAGAATAAACCTTTACTTGTTTCTTTATAGGAAATATATGTCCTTTTTGATCAAAAAAAGATAATGGCAAAAGTAGTAATTGACACTAAAAGGTATTTCTATTTCTGTTAGACAGTGTTTGATTGCCCTTCAGTATTCTTTGAGTTTTGTAAAGGGTGCTGTGCACAGAAACTGAACACACTGAAGTAATCAGACACTGGGTATATGTGAAAGCTCAAGAAGAAATATTTCATGTAATATTCAAAGAGGTTCATGCAAGCAGGCACAGAGATTTATGATCCACCCACGCCTAACAAGTTACAGATAATCTGAGGGCTGCTTCCACCTGTGCTGGACACAACGTCTCACGTTGGCGTCCATGTCCGCCCTTCCAGAGTGTCGAGATGTGCTGCTCCCCCTGATGACAGACCAACTCAGTGGCCAGCTGGATGACCACTCCAACAAGCCAGACTATGAGGCCTGTGGCCAGCTGCTCAGCACCATACTGGACATCCTGGACAGGAAGGATGTGGTGAGTCCGTAAAAAGTAGAGCGGGGGTGGGGGGGCAGGCTCTTCTCACACCCCCAGTGTGAAAAGCTGGGATTGCCCAGGAGACTGACATAAGTTGGTTTTCTGTCCTTCAAGCTCTTACTCTTTGTCTCATTATCCCCCTCCCGTTCTTCATCCCCCAGGGTCCCACCTCGGCTCACGTCCAGATGATCATGGAGCGCCTCCTTCGCCGGATCAACCGCACCGTCATCAGCATGAGCCGCACCCTCCCGCTCATCGTAAGAGGACAACTGTTCTTCCTCGCCCCTGCGTCTCTGTATCTCTGTGTATCTGTCTCGGTTTCTTTGTGTGTCTGTCTCTGTCTCTTTCTCACTGCATGTGTCTGTGTTTCTCTCTGTGTTTGTGCCTGTCTCTCTCCGTTTGTGTCTGTCTGTCTCTCTTCTGTCTCTGTCTCTCTTTCTTGTGTGCGCACATGTAAGGGAATTTCTACAATTGTGCCCCCATCTTTCTGAAAGTCTTTGTAGTCTCTGTCCTTGATGCCCAAGTGTTGCCATTCCAGAGAACAAAGCAAATATTGCACTGGGTGAGCAGTAATAGTGGTGGTGATGTAAGGTATGACTCAGCTTGACAGCTAATAAGAGGAAGTTGGCTCGTTAGTGAGAGGTTGTGAACAAACCTGGCAGAATTACAGAGTGTGATTATTATGTGGAAGTAATATATTAACAAAATCATGGTAATTATCATATTAACTTGACAGTCGACTATTTGTTATAATATGATTATTTGCCGCACTTTCTTTGCCCTATTGTAGCATCGTACATGAAGATTGAGATGGTGGGGTGTTTTGAAGCAGTAACTGTTTAAACATGATTCTGTAATGTGATATCATGTCATTGATGGTGTATAAATACAGTACCATGTCAATAATTTGAGGCTAATCAAGTTATCCTGCCTGTTGCTGTAGATTGTTGTAATTTCACAGGCTTCCTTTTTCTACTTCTTCTCTCTTCAGGGTCACTATCTGTCCTGCATGACGGCCATCCTGAAACAGATGGATGACTCTCACTACTCCCACTACATCAGCACCTTCAAAACACGACAGGACATCATCGTAAGTCAGGCTTTCCTGAGGTGCCAACTTGTGCGTAAAGAAACGTTGAATTTCAGAGCAAATGTAGTCCTCACAACTTACAATGAAACATTTACATATAGCAGGGAAGCAATACAGGATCTGGAAAAAAATACATATTTCACTTAAAACACAGTTAGGGAACTTTTTTGTTTATATGAGAAGAAATTGATCTGAGAGCTTTTAGATGTGTCCTGTACATGTGGCATGCAGAAATTATTCTGTTGTTGCATTTAAGAACATAGGAACAGGTACAAACGAGAGGAGGCTTTTAGGCCACCTAGTTTCTTTTGTAGTTAGTAGCTACTTGATCCAAGAATCTTATCCAGCAGTTTTTTTGAAAGAAGAATCCCACCTGGGCATCTTGTTCCACATTCACACAAACCTTTGGTTAAAAAGGTGCCTCCTGTTTTGGGTTTTAAATGCTTTTACATGTAGTTCCTATTTGTATTTTTAGTTCATTTCACTTTTGATTCTAAAGTCCAATAGGTTGACTTTGTCAATGCCCTTTGAATACTTGTATCAGAACATAAGGACCAGGTCTGGGAGCGCAACAACGCAGTCATCCCAGTCATAGGTGGAAGCACATTACTCACAAACCCCCAAAAGCTCTTTGTCATGGGACACATATTTGCAGGTACAGGGTGCAGCTTTGCAGGAGATTCTGATAACTCCTTATCTCTCTCTGTTTGTTTCTCATCCCGAATAATGAACAGGATTTCCTGATGGAGACATTCATCATGTTTAAGGATCTGATCGGGAATGTGTTCCCTTCGGACTGGATGATCATGAACCTGCTGCAGATCAGGTTAATGCACTGCACAGCCCTTTTCTCATACAGCTCAACTTCACAATTCTGGCCCTAGGGACTCAGCCGTGGATTAGATCAAACATTTCATTCCGTATGTCAGTTAGAATTTATGAACCCAGTAGTGAATGGCCTATATTTACTTGCATCTTACTGCTTCAGTCTACGAACAAATCTGCTAGGGAATACTGGGCTTATAACTTATATGATAATATTAATTCCAGTCAGGGGATGTCAGTCTGATTATCAGAAAAATTAGCAATGTTCTCAGATGGAGTTCCCAGTTGGGTTGCCCTGCCCAGAAGGTGTATTTGTTTCTGTGTTTAAGTATCAGTCCTGGGACTAGAAAAACGTAAACATAGGATCAGATGCAGATGATCAAAGAGCGTTCTTCATGATTCTGGCTAATTCACCTGGTAATTCAATAAGACCACCATGCTGAAGAATAAGCAGTGGGGTGGACCACAGCAGAAATGCAGAGAAGACAGGGCACAAAAAGAAGAAAACAAGAGATACAGGATCATCTTTCTCTTCCTCCAAAGCCTAAGCCATGAGAAAGATTCTTGTTTTTATCTACGAGACCCAATTCTGGCTGGGTAATCGTAGTTATTGGTATAAGAGATCTTACGGTCTTATTGCTCTAGTCATGTAAATATTTATTTGACTGCAGTAGTATACAGTACACTATGCTATTCTATAGTCATTTGGACTAACGCTTGTTTTTTTTCTTGTCTATTGTTTCTTACAACTGTTCTAGTAACAGTATTAAATCTGTATATTAGAAGTAAAAGCTAGGGTGTAAAACTGAATTTTAAGACAGGATTGTCATCCTGTCATCTCTTGTCATCTCTAATGACAGCTCTTTCATACTATGCATAAATCTGAGCCCAGGCTGAATTGATGTACACAGTGTGTTTGCAGAAAGACTTATGCACACTTAAGGGCCCAGGGAACAATTTAATATCAGGTGTGTAAGAGTGGGATAGAGAATTGCAAAAAACACAAAAAAGCAAGAGAGTGGGAATAGAATGCAAGTTACATGTGGTAGGTTAATTTTAGCAATCAATTCAGATTTGTAGAAAGGAGAGGCTGCATGAAACTGGAAAATGAGAGCTGTACTGAACATGAAATTAAAAACACTGTGCCTGAAAGTGGAATCACGAGACCACACCAGTGTCATTTGTTTTTCGTCAGTTTGGTTGAAGCATTAGGTTTTTTTTAATTTAACCTTTTAATTCTTCATTTTAATTAAACACCATTAGTTATTTTGAGCTCTTAAACAGAACTTCAGATTATTTTAACACTACTAACACTGCCTGAAAAACTGATTCTTCCTGAAAAATCTGTTATAAAGCTTGGAGGAAATAATTGCAAAGTGTCCAAATGAGTGAGATATTAGTTTTATTCAGTTTTCCATTAAGCAGGGGGAAGCCCTAGGGTGCTGGAGATATGAAAGTTTCCACTTGAACTCGGCAGGCCGGTGTTAAATTCAGCTGTACTCTTCTTAACCTCCATCAGATTGTGTTTGCACCATGTTTAGAAGCTCTTCCTGTTGAATTGCTAGCTTATTTTAACATTATCTCTCTGTAGGGCATCTCATGCCCCATTTTACAGATCCACTTTATGGGCGTGTTTTAATTCCAGCTCACGTCTCTCTTAAAAATGACCAGTTTGCTCCATTAGACTTTTTTTAGCTTCTGACTTGTGGTTTAAGAATAGAAAAGCAATTAACGGGTGTAATTAAACACATTAAATCAGTAATGAAAATAATTATTAGCTTTTAATTAAGGATTCAAGTAAGTAACAGAGCTCAGCAGACCCAAGCATACTTGGACCAGGTCTCAGTATCATTTTTTATATTTAAACATTCCTACTAAAATGTTTCTTACTGATGTGTAGTTGTGGATGTAATTGTGCTACAAATCTAAATTAAGCAATTTTCTGCCTACATTTGTTAGTTTTGCATTTTTTCTCATTTCTCTTTGTTTTGATTTAAACTTTTACCATAACAGAGTGTTTCTGCGTGCAATCAACCAGTATGCAGAGGTTCTCAATAAATACTTCCTGGACCAGGCCAGTTTTGAGCTGCAGGTAACTCCTCTTTGTACAGTGAAATGATCCTGCTTCCTTCGAGTTAACAAAGATGTTTTAGAAATTAGAAGACACATTGTACAGTTTTGTATCACTGTAGTGTGCTGTGAAACCGAGAGTCTTCTGTATAGCTCTGTACTTCCTTTAAGATGTGATGCCATAAACAATACTATTATTTAATGTTTTATAAAAATGACTATGCCCTACGTTCTCAAACCCAGGCTCTTCAATGTCAATACTCAGTGTTGATTTTTTAGGTATCTACTGATGAGCTCTGTGAAGGCACAATGCCCATTGTTTTTGTCTTTGTTATAAGCTATATACAGTAAGCACGGTCTTCTAAAGTCAGGATATCTGCAAGATTTACCGGCATCAAAATTGACACGCTGTCGAGGCTGGTTTTGGGAGAGCAGTTTTCAAATGGATAAAGAATTATTTTTTGTATTTCCTAGTTAGCATTTTGGCTGACCTCATATGAATGGATTAATATGGGATGGCCTGTTTGTCTGCAGCAAAAAATAACAGGGATTGCTGCAAGGTTTCACTCCTGTTGGTCCGCAGTTTCAGCGCTTGGTAAAACCATATGGTACTAGTCTGGCTCCTAACTCCTGTTCTCCTTGCGCAGCTCTGGAACAACTACTTCCACTTGACCGTGGCCTTCCTTACCCACAAGTCCCTGCAACTTGAGACTTTCTCCCAGGAGAAACGCAACAAGATCCTGAACAAGTAAGTCTCCCAGAAACAAGTTCATTTCTATTTTAGTCTTCACAACTTGGTTTGTTGTTGTAACACTGAATTAGAATGGGAAGGCAGTTATTAAAATCTCTAAAATACATTGAAGAGAAATTGTCTGATGTGCATTAGTGTTCATTTTCCCTGTAGAGCTGATTTTACTTTAGAAAGTTGTTTAGTATATGAAAGAACAGCGCTCTAATGGTATGCTCATTTTAATTAGTTTTAATTGCTATTCCTGCTAGAATACTGTGCAATGCAGAATGTGCTCAGAATTAATGTTCCCTGTAGATTTTTTTGATGCAGAATTTATAATTTCCATCTAATTACTTCCTTTTCTAGTTTTGTTTGTTCCAAATGTATCCGTTGTTTCTACAATGTCAGGACAGTCAGGAAAACACATTCCCAGAGTAGCCAGTTTGTCCAGATGAAGTAATTGGGCAAAGGAATGTATGCTGAACAAGACAGCTTGCAGTTTTTAAAGTCAAGAGAGGAGGCAGACTTCCATCTTTCTGATTTTTACTAAGGAGAAGGGGAATATCTGCTACAAATGGCTAATGAAAGCAACTTAAAATGTGCTGGTTTTCTGAATTGTTCAGCATTATATGTTGCTTTACTTTTGCTGTTTTAGAGTAGATGTTTTGTTACTACAACTGAGATGTATACAAAATGTTGGACGTTGTGAAATTAAGTCATTCTGAAATGCTAAAACTTAAAGATTAATAGAAAAACACAAATATGGTTGAACCCAAGTCATGTTGAACCCACTGCTTTCAGATCAGAAAACTGTTCCATCGCTCATAGTGATCTGTTCACTTTTTCTCAAAGGGGTAGTTTGAATGAAATGAACAGAATGATCAAAAGTGGTGAGATCATATTGGAACAAGAAGTGGATAATTACACATTGTTTATGTTGTGCTCTTTTAACAGAAATCTGAAATTTAAATTCAGCATTCAAAACATTGTGAGCAGAATTTGAAGGAAATATGATTAGAATTCAAAACCTTGTGTAGAATTCCACTGAACAAATACAATGAGATAGATACTAGATTCTATTTAACTTACTTGAACTTAATACTGGGTAAATAACAGTATTCCCTTCTGTTTTTGTCTGTTAAGATATGGAGACATGAGGAAGGAAATTGGCTTTAAGATCCGGGACATGTGGTACAACCTTGGTAAGAAAGAGCCTGTGGTTTTCCTGGAACATACTGTACTGGCAGAAACAGCCATTTCATGTCAGTACAAGCAGTCAGTAACAGAAGAAATTGTGCAGCAAGCTTCTCAGTTTATCTCTAAATTTATAACTGTAAGAAGGCATTAATAATTTTTCTTAATGTTTAAAGAAATGTTAAGATTGTGCAATGCACTAGTAATATTATGTGCAATTTTAGTCACCGTGTTATAAAAAAGATATTTATTTTGGAGCTAGCCAAGACAAGAGCAACCAGGTACATTCCGGGGCTTAACAGAACATTAAACTGTAAGAGGCTAAAACAGCTGAATCTTTTTAGTTTTGGAATGAAAAGACAGTGGGATGACCTGATCCAGGTATTCAAAATCATGGACAAAATCAGCTGATTGGACTTCTTCAGAATAAACATTGAATCACAAGTGGAAACTACACAGAAGTGCGTTTGGAACTGAGAGGAGGAGATGCTTCTTTACACAAAGAGTAGTGGGAGTGTGAAGCAAGTTACTCAGCCATGCTGTTGAAGCAGATACCCTGGCGCCTTTGAAGAAATGGCAAAATAAAATCCTTGGATCACTTAGCTACTAACTACCAAGCTGGCTAGATGGTTTAGAATGTCAGTATCTTCTTAATAACATCGTTCAAGTCCTTAAGAAATGTTTGAAATGCTTGTTATTAATACCAAATGGAAAAATCCCTTTGTGAAAAACCAACTGTTTTGAAAAATCTGTTTTGCATATGGAATGAATTGTGTGCAGCTTTGGCGTATTCCTTCTTCTACATTTTTATTCCATCAGATAATTCCATTCTTTGCATTTCACTGAAAAAATGCTTGGAGGTTTAAAGAATTGTATTTAGTCTATTTGAAGCAGTGAAAAAAAAGATGGATCGCGTCCCTTCTGCTCAGAATGCACAAACTTGGCTCTTCATCTTTAAGGATTCTAACAGATAACTGACAATTTTCTTGAGGTAAAAAAAATAAAACCTTGCGAGCCCTCTGTAACCCCTAGGTCCCCACAAGATGAAGTTCATCCCATCCATGGTGGGCTCAATCTTGGAGGTGACTCTGGTTCCGGAGCCCGACCTGAGGAAAGCCACCATCCCCATCTTTTTTGACATGATGCAGTGTGAGCACAACTTCAGCCCCAACCACACCTTCCAAATGGTGAGCCCCATTTTCCTGCGAATCCCGAGCATTGAAAAGAGCCTTTTTAGCTGTAACTGCAGCAAAGACGTCACCTGAGCACTCGCGACAGATTAACATTCGCCATCACCCTGCAGACTGCTATTCCAGCCACCACTGGCAGCAGTGCAAGCCGTACATCTTTGACACATGCTGTGTACCAGTTTGCAGATGTGGTCTTGAGGGATTCCAACCCATTCCTTTCATAGCCTAGACAAGCACGTTCACTGGTCTCTGAGCCCTACATGACACATGTTGCCACAACTCATGCAAAACACTCTTGTTTACATAGAGTAAGTTCATTTTGGTGCTCGGTATGTATTTTGGAATTACTTGTATAACAGGGGTTTTAGTGCTCACAATACAGTTTTTACAGTTCTCAAGAGGGCACAGACCCCAAAGTTTGATGCTTCTCTGGGCTCAAACTCTAGGGTCTGTGCAGGGCTCAGGTGCTCAGAGGTGTGTGTGTGAGATGGCAGTATATTGTGGCAGTGTAACTATTGATCAAATGCATTGATGCCTATAAACCACTTCAATCGCTGGTGAGTAAAGTGTTGGGGGGGGGGGGATGGATTGAACTGGCTGCAGCAGAGATGTCACACAAGCCCCGACACGCCATTTCTCCCAGCAGCAGGTTTTAAGCTGGTTGGGGCTGCGCACACAGTTCCTCCTGGTCCACTGAAGAATGCTACCTTCGCAGTTTAGAAGTATTGATTTTTATGGGCTTGAAGTCCCGCTAATGGAGACTATCTGTGTGCCGCAGTTTGAGAACGAGCTGATCACGAAGCTGGACCAGGAAGTGGAAGGAGGCCGTGGGGATGAGCAGTACAAGGTCCTCCTGGAGAAGACGTAGGTTTGCCCTTTCCAGCTAACACGTCCTGTCATCCTTTTGTGTCTGTGTCCATCTTTCTGTCTAGTTATGTATAATTAAAACCCATTTGAGGCATTTCATTTCCTTCCTGTCAGAGCCATCCTGGAGATCTCTGCATTTACAGCTGTACACTAATCCTATATTTGGGTCTGTGTTTGACTGTGTGTTTATCTCTTATATGGTTTTGTCTTTTGGGCTGTGCAAAGTGCAGATAAGTAATAGAGCCTTCCTCTGTCACGCCAGCAATTAACCTTCTTGCCATGTATCACTCTCACTTATCTGTGCCAAACACATTTTCCTCACAGGTGCTATCAAATTGAAACAATACTGTGTCATCTTTGAAGAACATCTTACATTTCGGACACAACAGCAGCCTTCATCAAAAGCAGTTGCTGAGCAACTAATCACTGTTTTAATTTAATGACAGTGACCTGTTTCTTTCAGTTTTGAAGGTTTTAGCTCATACCTGTACATAGAATAATACAGGTAAATGGACTAGACTCCTGGTGCTCTATAGTTTGATCCATTTCAGGTTGCTACCATTTCCTGTTTTTTTTTTTTTAAGTTTTCTTACGCAGCTGTCTGTCCAGTTCTTCCTGCTGGACCTCTCCTTGGTTACCTGTGTTTGTGTGTCTGCCCGCAGACTGCTGGAGCACTGCCGCCGCCACCGCTACCTGTCTTCCTCGGGGGAGTCTCTGGCCCTGCTCCTCAGCAGCCTGCTGGAGAACCTGCTGGCCTACCGCACCATCACGCACGACGAGAGCCCCGAGCACCGCATGAGCTGCACTGTCAACGTGCTGGTGCGTCCGCTCACCTCCACCCCCCAGCCCCGCAGCTCCCCAGTCCCCCATAGCCCCCCGGTGTGCGCTGAGCAAGTTGGGGGCAACAATGGGCCTTGGAGAAATGTGCCACAAATCTTCAGATACTGACACCAACTACTCCATTCCCTTCGTCGTAGTGATATGCAGTGCTGTCTGTGTGCAGCGCTGCGTTTTTAAGCTCAATTAATCAGAAATCATAAGATGTCCCGATGCCATCCTATGACTGAAAAGGAAATTGAGTGGTTAGTGTGCTTAACTTAACGGGTACTCTACTCCATTTTTAAAGCCAGTTTCAAGAAACACTTGGATGAGATCTTCTGACAAATGCTGCAGAACTCTTGACTACCAAACAGGGCAGCTTTGCCAAAGGTTACACATGAGAAAAGGCTATTTCTTATGTCAGTAATAATTATAGAAATAATAATTATTTACACTTATGTAGTACTTTTCTGGACACCCCAAAGTGCTTTACAGGCAAATCGACGGCAGCCGTAATGCGCCAGTACGCTCACCACACACCAGCTATCAGTGAAGAAGAGAATAGAGGGATGAAGCCAGTTCAGAGATGGGGATTTTTAAGAGGCCATGACTGGTAAAATCCAGGTCGAGATTTGGCCAGGACACTGGGGTAACACCCCTACTCTTTTTGAAAAACACCCTGGGATTTTTAATGATCATGGAGAGCCAAGACTTCGGTTTTACGTCTCATCTGAAGGACGGTGCCCTTTAACAGTTCCCGTCACTATACTGGGGCATAAGGACCTACACAGACTGCAGGAAGAGTGCCCCCTACTGGTCACACTAATACCTGTTTCAGTAACAATCTTAGCTTCTCCAGGAGATCTCCCATCTGGCCATTACTGGCCAGGCTCACACCTGCTGAGTTTCAGTGAGTGGCCTGTTGTGAGATGCAGTTTGCAGAGTGCCTGTGGGATAGGGTTTGGATTAGCTGGCCAGGGCTGTTTAGGCTCTCAACAATACCTGCCTGGCTCCACCACCAGGCCTGCGTTGATATCTCTGTGGGACACGTGTGCTCCAGCTGGCCTAAATCCTCCTGTTTTTCGCTGGGAAGCTCCTAGTTTGTCTAGAAATGACTCTGATAGCTTGGAAGGTTGGAGGATCACTGTTGGCACTGTGAGCTGAGGTGTAAAGAAACAATTTGTAATTCCAAATCGGGTCGATACAAAATAAGAACAGTATTAATCTCGGTAGTCCCCGTGTCAGTATGTTAAACACAAAACAGACCAGACTCAAACACGGCAGTGTCTTTGGCTTTAGGCATCGTTAGAAGGAATGTCATCACTTGCATATCAAGTCCAAGGTTCATCGACTGAACTGTTATTATTTCATTGTGGATATATACTGCTCCTTTTTTTGCATACTTCTTTTTATTAAGGAAAAAGGCAGAAATAATGCTGGAATGAAACAGAGCATGTTTTGATCAAACTGGAACAGCTTGTTCATCTTGTTCTTTGCACAGTATACACAGTAGTGTATAAACCTCCCAGGTTTACAGTTTCAACATTTCAGAATCGTCTTGTCTGTTTTGCAGAACTTCTACAAGGAAAAGAAGAGGGAGGACATCTATATCCGGTAAGCCTTGTGAAGTGTGGAGGGAAGGGAGCTAAGGTTGCGCTGAGGAACAGGAAAAACATATACTGTGCACCAACAGTTAAAAGGGATATCTCCGCTTGGTGCAGTTATACTTCTTGCCAGCTTCACCAAGTGGACTTTTCAGGAAATGGGAAAGCAGAAACCTGTGATCACCAGTACCGTAAAAAGATCACCCTGTAGAGGTCAACTTAAGGTCTCTGCTTAAGAAACATTTATTCAACCCATATTTGCCACGCTGTTGTTTACTAATCTTTTCATTTTTGATCATGATCCTCCAGTGCACTCACCTGTGGAGTGATTTGTCACATGGCAAGCTCCAAAGTGCCTGACAGGAGAGTCCGCTCTGATTGGGGGAACGCGACGTAACTCGATGACATTGTGCAACAGATATCTGTGTGTGCTGTTTGCCAGGAAGATGAGAGAGCCCTGGCTGGCTTAATTCCAGCCCTGCTCCATCAACATCAGCTTAATTGTGAGGTCTCACTTAGGGAATCCTGGTCACGGCTGTGGAGCTGGCAGTACAACTCTGGCTCGAAGTCATTACTTCTAGGCCATAGCCTACTGTACCTACTGTAATATGAGTCCCTCATGCTACTTCAGCCCCATGGGATCACCTTACTGTAGGCTTTTAGAAAAGGAACAAACACAAAATAAAAATATTTGTTTGAAAATCCCCCCAAAAAGGGCTCTTCTGTTAGATTTCTACTGCACTTTACACCTTCATTGTGTTGCCTGTTTCACTGGAAAGAAGACCGGTGTTAACTGTGAGGTTAAAATAAATTAGTCACACTTTCTGCTAGATGGGCATGCTGACCACAAAGCTTGGGCTGTAGTGCTCGTTAAAAACACCATGGCTAAGTCTGCACTTCACTCTTTCTCACTTTCCAGGTATTTGTACAAGCTGAGGGATTTACACCTGGACTGTGAGAACTACACAGAGGCTGCCTACACTCTCTTACTGCACGCTGAGCTCCTGGAGGTCTGATAGTCCGAAAAACTCCTGTGGGTGTGGTTCTGCCCAACAGAACTGAAGTGCACTGTTTATATGAGTAGAGTAGAGTTCATTGTCAACTGCACAAGTACAATGAAATGCTTATTTGCATGTTTGCTCCTCTATAAAGACATCAAGGAAACACCAAAAACAAAAACACAGAACAGTGGTAGCAACAACAAGTTAAATAACATACATCTGTGTGAGCCAGTGGTAGGAGTTCAGTAATCTGACAGTTTGAGGGAAGAAGCTGTCTCTGAGTCCAGACATTCGTGCCTTTATGCTCCTATAACACTTACCGGAGGGAAGGGGGGAGAAAAGTGAGGAAATGGTATCCTTAACGATACTTCCAGCATTCCTGAGGCAGCGAGTAGGAAAAATGTCTACTACTATATGGCCCAGGAAATGCACACTACACACTTAAATAATTTTGATTTATTTTTATCCATCAGCTTAACAGCTTTTGAGAATTCTCTGCAGTAACCTTTCATGGACAAAGTTGCAGAAAAGAGGTTCAGGTCTTAGTGAAAGCTCTCATCTGTAGTATACAATATTTGCGCCTACACGTAGTTCACAAGATGAGTTTTTTAATGTTGTGGTTTTCTGCCACTTTCTATCAACTCGTCCTGTTTGCCTGTGAGTTTTGCACAAGCCCAGGCAGTAGATGTGACCTCTATTTTCCTGCACTGACTGTCTGTGAAGGTTGCTGGGGGATGGGTAGGTTGCTGCAGCTAGCCAAATGATTCATATTAAGACATCACATTCCAACCATTTTTTCCTCTGATAAATTATGTGGATTTGACCACGTAATGGGACAGTCACTTTTTTTTCCTTCAAGCAATACTTTCTGGGACTTTTTGGAAAAATTGCCTAAGCTGCTCCAGTTGCCTTTAACATATTAACTTTTCAGACTAATAATTTATAGGCTGTTTATGAAAATGACTCATGGTGTGTAGATACTCAAGGGCAAAGATAGATGACCCACTGAAACTCAGTCAGTTTTAATGGTTGAATTAAAAAGTCATGAAGAAGTGGCTTTGTCATTTGCTCGGTCACGTTTCAGCTTCAGAACTCCAGAGTAAGGATGGCTTTGTAATAGAGGAAGTCATTCAGAACCACCTCTCAGTGTCGAAGGGCCTGTTTTCCAGCGTTGCACAAACCTGAGGTGTAATGGACTGTGCCTGTCCTTGTGTCTCTAGTGGTCCGACCAGCCCTGTGCTTCCCACCTCATCCCACGGGATGGCTCCAAGGTGTGGTCCCAGCAGGAACTCAAAGAGAAGCTCTTCCAGGAGATCATCCACTACCTGGACAAAGGCAAGGTTAGGAATTCAGACATTTCTTTTATTGAACAGCATCACCTGAGAACCAACTGTGATTTATAGGAAAGACCTGACTAGCCAGCTCACTCCACTACTACTGAATTCACACAACACAGTGCATCAGTTGGCAAAAACATAAGAATATATTGGCAGTCCATTGAGGGGAAGAGTCGTAGAGGGCAGACACAGGTATGTTTCTATCCAGAAGATAAGAAAGAGATGAGGGTGGCTTTGAGAACTACAAGTACCAGAATCCTTAGCATCCAAATGAGGAAATGAGCCCCAGCTGAGCAGACACTGTGTAAAAAAAGGCGTGAATGTTTTATCTGCTCGGAAGACCTGGTGAGAGACAGAGCTAAAGAGTTTAAAAAAAAACAATACAGCACTAATTTAGTAATCTGGATAAGAACCTGAACTTAGCTTTAACCCAGGCCTAGACCCTGATTTTTGTTATGTAAAATGTTCATGTTTATATGTTTTAATTTCTTGTATGATGATAACAATCCTAGCATTTTAGATACGGTAGGAATTGTAACAAACATAACTGTAGCCGTAATAAGCATTTCTTAGGTTTTATTTGCATTACTGATATTTGTGTTACAGTCATTAAGTGCCAGAGACCTCCAGATATTTCTTTTAGTTGTTGTGTGCACCCAACCTTTACAAGAGGCTCCCTGCTCTGGTACCCTGCATGTCATGATCTGCACACACACACATTAAGAAAATAGGCTGTCAGCACTGAGTCAAAGTTGTGACTCCTGAAACAGAGGTCTTGAATGTGACTCATTCCAGTATTTGGGTGCTGAAGACTGAAATGACTGATGACCGCGATCATCAATCTAACCTTGGGAAAGGCCCATTCAATTACTATTACTGGGTTGTAAATCCATCACCTCTTCCGCTCTCTATCTCTTCTTCAGGCAGGGACAGTTCAGACCAATGCCAGGGTCCTGAGAGCCAATGGGGGGGGGGGACTCTAAATTGCATTATTTGGACTAAGGTGTTGCTTGATCAGTCTTAGTGATCATGCTTTTTAGGCCTTTGCTCATTAACTATTTCAAACTTCAAGATTAAAATTTCAATAATTTCACAGCTTCATAGGTTTTATTTTCCCGTAGATGAGCTGCTGTACATCTTGCATTTACTGTCATAGTCAAAATAATCAGCATGCAGGCTGCTGATGTGCTGCTGGGTCAGAATATCGTCAGTTAGTGCAGCTGTTGTGGTCAGCGTCTTTACAAGTGCCCAGCTGTGTGCTTGCTGTTTCAGATGTGGGAGAAGGCCATCAAGCTGAGTAAGGAGCTGGCAGGGATGTATGAGAATCAGATCTTTGACTTCATGGAGCTCAGCCAGCTGCTGGTAAGAGAACAGCCAACTTTCATATCATTCATATCATCTTTCAACAGTCATATTTCATCGTAATTGTAGCTGCTGTGCTTGGAAAAACAAGAGAAAGCCCATGGCACGCATCTTGGTACTACTAACTACTTGGTACTACTTGGACGATCTGAGTATCTTGCTGAGAGACTGCTGAAAAAGATACAGCTCTACAGTACTTAATCGGAAGTATTGCTAAGAGGGGTGGGAGACTGGAACAAGCAGCCCAGAGATGTTAAAACAGATATCCTAGGATTCTTCAGGAAAAAGCTGGATGAGATCCTTGGATCATCAAGTGATTAAGATGCTCTAAATGTAACATTTATTACAATGTTTAAGTGTAATATTTGTTGTAATTGCTGAGGCTCTGTCTGCTTTCGACTGAAAAAAGGAAAATATTATGCTCCTTTTTCAAAATGTGTTTCCTTTTTTAAATGTCCTCTGATCTCTTCCTGTAAAACAGTTAATAACATTTAAGCAGTGGTTTCACTTTTCTCTTCCCTAAATTGTCATGAATCAGGGATATTATGTTGCAATTGCACAAGATAAGATAAGATCACTTTTATTGGCCATATTACAATTTCTTGCATTAGGGATTTGCCTTTTCACATACCCCAGCTTGCTCTCCATGAGACACACAGAAGGGGAGAGAGGCTTGGGGTCAGAGCGCAGGGTCAGCCATTTATACGGCGCCCCTGGAGCAGTTGGAGTTAAGGGCCAACAGAGCAGGATTCCTCTGCCAGCCGCGGGATACGAACCGGCAACCTTCCAGCCACAGGCACAGATCCTTAGCCACAGAGCCACAATTTGTACCAACAAATCTTAAAAAAAGATATTGCTGCTCTAAAGTCCAGAGAAGAGCAACCATATATATTCCCTAGTTTGAAAGGAATTTCCAAAGCAAGATAATTAAGGGTAATGGGGACTCCCCTCCACTACCACCTGGATGATGCGATAGCAGCCAGAGTGCGCCAGTATGCGCACAACACATCAGCTATCAGTGGGGAGGAGAACAGAGTGATGAAGCCAGTTCACAGATAGGGGTTATTAGGAGACAATGATTGTTCGAGGCAAAGGGGAATTTGACTGGGATGCTGGGATTACACCTCTACTCTCTTAATGAAACTGGGGCAATAGGACCCATGCAGACTGTAGAGTTAGCACTCCCTACTGGTCCTAATAATATCACTGAGCTACCAGTTCAGGAAAATGGGCAGTAGCAAAATATGCGTAGACCTGTATATCTGGAAGGAGAAGAAGTGGAGAACCCCAAGCCCCATCTACCAACAAGAGAAAAGATACATTTCTCTATTAGCATTTTCTCCAATGTCACTGTTCTGTAGTAATTTTTTTCATGGTTAAAGTGACAGAAAGCATTACAATTATATAACTGAAACAGCTGTCACCGCATGTAGGAAAGTGTAGTGCTGTAATTTTTGCAGCCACAGTGCTTTGGAGACTTCATGTGTGCCATGAATAATAATATCACTCAAGGGATGTCAGTGGCATAGAAATGCAGAAAACTTTCAGCAATACAAAGCTGCCATCTAGTGGTTTTTAGGTTGAATTGCTGAATTTGAAGCTGGCAGTGACGTTCAATACATTTATTTTCTTCTGTGTCTGCAGAAACAGCAGGCCCTGTTCTATGAGAACATCATGCATGCCATGCGGCCACAGCCGGAGTATTTCGCAGTGGGATACTACGGCCTGGGCTTCCCCACTTTCCTCAGGGTGAGACCCCACTTCCTCTACCGCATCTGTTTTGGTACAGCTTCTGGAAAGCTTTCACGAATACATCAAAACCACTGCGAACTCTCATTGGTTCTTTTGCTTCACACATTTATCCAAAGTGACTCATAAAAGTGCAAATGCACGATGCATACCATGTAAAAAATAGTGTGCAATGTAGTATCAGGAAAAACTAAAATAAATGTCGCAAAAGTAGTTCAAGGAGGGAGCTGCATCAGCATGCGTAGGCAGCAAAGGAACAAGTAAAGGTCTATCCTCTGCTGAAAAGAGAAAAAAAGAAACAGAACATTTCAGCTGTGGAGCCTTCTTCGGGTGTCAATAAATGTAGCAAGTTGCATAGCGCAGTCATAAGTGCAGTCATTTGCATTATACAGGTTATAAACAATTCCAGAGAGGCAGGATGTATTATAACTGAAGTTCATATCAGCAACTTGGAAAATGTAAATTATAGTGAAAGTATACATGTGAGATTCAGTGTGTGACCCAGTACAATAAAAAGGGTTAAGTTATAGATGTTGAGTGACCTCTTGAAGACTGTGGTGTCTGGTGCTATATATAAAGCCAAAAAGACGTGAGCTATTGTAATTTCTCTTGTTTCAGAATAAGGTCTTTATTTACCGGGGGAAAGAGTATGAATGGCTAGAAGACTTCAGCTTGAAGCTGCTGTCTCAGTTCCCACTGGCTGTGAGGATGACCAGCACGTCACCCCCTACTGACGAGATCTGTAGCTCCGCTGGACAGCGTATCCTTCTCTTCCTGTTTCCCCCCTGCCGAGTCTGTGGTTATCTGTACCTCAGGGCAAGGGGTTACCACTTTCAACGATGTGGTAACGATTTGACACATAGTGCTAGAAATACATGTTTTTATTCCAGCTACCAGCCATGTTATTGAAACTGATACACAAGCTTCTTTCAAGAGATGTCTGGATGAGATCTTTGGATCAGTTAACTACCAAAACCTAACTAGGTGGACCAAACAGCCTCCTGTTGTTTGTTAACCATTCTTATCAAAGTCCTAGATCGAAGGGTTTTCCATTCTAGCATAAAAACTGAATTGCACTCAAGAGACTTTTCAGATGATCTCATTCCAGATAATTTCCAAAATCCTTCAAGTTTGTGTGTGGGGGGTTTCCCTTTCTTGTACCTGTCATAGTGGCTATTGATCTCTAAATGTGTACAGTTAGTTTGAAAAGACCTGCTTTAAGATATAAGCCTTGAAGGCCGACCTTGGAAAAGCCAGGCCAGACCAAGCCATGACTACCCTTAACCAGACACTGCAGACATCCAGTGTTTCACCGTCAAGCCTGTTCTCAACCTGCCTCCCCGCTTCAAGGACAAAGGAGTGCCAGAGCAGATCCTGAAGTATGACATCACACGGCCCTGTCTCTGTTGCTTGCTTCTTAAGAGCACGACCGCTGTTGTGTTCTCGCCTGTGTGATGGGGTTCTGTCTAGTGATGCTGTTGTTCTGTTTTTTGTTCTCATTATGCTTGGATTGAGGGAGGATGGGGGAGAACATGGGTCCAATTAGCATTCCCTTTCATAAATTGAAGAATCTCCATAAAAAAAAGGACGAAGTTTGTCGCACCCTTTAAAAAAAACTTTCCTGGAAGGAGCTCTCAGGGTTCACCCTCCCACCCCGACCTGATGATTGTTTCACGAGGAATGTTTCCTCAGTTGGACTGCCCTTCACATCTAGGAGTACCAGATGGCAGTTTTTTTGCCAATCTCTTTCATCCTTTTTAGTGTTTTGAAAGACAGTGCAATTCACCTATATTATGTTAATGCTGTCCAGTTGTGAGCTCTGCAAGCAAAAATTAAAGAGAGGTTTTCAAACTGTTGGTATAACTCAACGACGTATGAAGCAATATGCTTCATAACCCCTCAATTATATTTTCAATTATGGTTATAGCATTTACCAGGTTAAAATATATCCGGGTTAAATAGAATTCAAACAGCTCCTAAGAATTAGACCGCAGGCTTAATTCAGAAAAGTCAATGCCAGAATAAATTCAGGATGTACTGTAGGTTACACTTCCAGTAGGAGAGGCATTGTTAATCTTCTCCTCTGTGTCTTACAGTTATTACAGAACCAATGAGGTGGACCAGTTCCAGTATTCAAGACCCTTCAGAAAAGGCGAAAAGAACCCAGACAATGAGTTTGCAGTGAGTACTTCCCCCAGGAAGTTTCCAAGTATTTCCTGAGCTCTTCTGCTTTAAAAACAGCAATAACCTCATCTAAAGAGGGTTGGGGATCCACATCTAATGCTGGTCCAGTATTCAGAGCTTGCTGTTTTATTCAGTGCAGAACCACAAGGACAGATTCAACCTTTTAAAGCGTCCTGTCGATCAGGTTTGGGGAAGATTCATGGATCTCCAATGCCATGAGCGCCATTGCCCACACTTCCAAATGTACCTCCAGAACTCTTGTGGTCTGCAAACTCCACCTGAGTTTTAGAGTTGGGGGTAAGACTCCATTTCTTTTACTCCATATCTTCAGACCATGTGGATTGAAAGGACTACCTACATCACAGCCTACAAGTTCCCTGGGATTCTCAAGTGGTTCGAAGTCAAGTCGATCTCAGTTGTAAGTGCATGACAAACTATGTGCTTGTTGCAATGAATGTGTGAGAGAGTTAGGCAATTTTAATTCTAAACAACCTATGTTGGTTTGAGATGAACAGTCCTGGTTGTGGTAAGCATGTGTAGTGTTAACTAGGGGGACATGCTGATAGCTTCTTCCACTATTTACTGCAGTTTCAATGAATTAGTGAGCAACCCTGAGCAACACTAAGAGGTCTTATGTACAGCATGTACATTTGTGATGGTTAAATGGCATGCCATGTGATTGTTGGTCTTTATAAGGGTGTTTTTTAGATGCTGTGTTTTGCTGGTCTATGTTTTTAAATGAGAAAGCTGCTCAGTCTTGCTGTGTCACCTTCAATTCAGCTTGTGTCAGTGTGTGATTGCAGTATGTGTGTATCCAGGAGGAGATCAGCCCTCTGGAAAATGCCATTGAGACTATGGAGATGGCCAATGAAAAACTCAGTAACCTGGTGCAGCAGCAAGCCTGTGATCGCTCACTGGCTGTCCACCCACTGTCCATGATGCTGAATGGCATCGTTGACCCTGCTGTCATGGGCGGCTTCTCCAACTACGAGAAGGTTTGTGCTTCTGTGTGCCTTACAGTTCGACAGTCTGTCATTCTCTGTCTTGGCTTACCTGTTTGCCTGGCTGGCCATCTTCTACAAAGAAAATTGTCAGTGGGGCTATCTGAACATTGCCATGAATGCAGTGATGCACTCCTGGGCTCCCGGTTCTTGCAGGCTTTCATGACCCGGTCATTGTTTTCCTTCTGCTAGGCTTTCTTCACAGACGCCTATATCGAAGAGCACCCTGAGGACCTGGAGCGCATTGAGATCCTGAAACACCTCATCGCCCTGCAGGTCAGATTGCAGCTCGAACCCACACAGTGAGATAGATGCTTTTAACGCTTGACAAAAAATATCAGTGGGAACAAGGGACGAGTCAAGATGGTATGGGAAAATATTGCACAAACCTCAGAGTAAAGTTGATAAAATGCTGATGCTCCTGGAGAGTTTTTGAGAGGGCAAATCAAGAAGGTTGAGGTGAATTCCACACTTTGAAGTAGAAACAAAAATCAGTGTTTTGGCTGTTGGGACTTCTTCAGGTCTGAGTATGAATGAGAAAGCAAGGGTGCAGGGATAAGAAGAGAAGAAACTAAAGAACATGTGAAAGAGTGAAATTTTCAGTTGAATTAACTCGGCCCTGTGTAGTAGCACGCTGACACAGCACCCCCATTCAAACCAAATCACGAAAGTGCTGTTTCCAAGTCCCCTTTAGTTTCTGTGTCGATATGATAAGGGCCAATATGTTTTCACTGTGGTCTATATGGTTTTTCACCTGCTGAAACTGAACCAGATGTTCTCTTATCTGTAATACAAGTGCAAGTTACAACCTCAGGCCATTCAACCTATTGTACCTTCCCAGTTTCCATAAACTCTAGACATTTGCAAACTGGTTTCAGCTGTGTCCCAGTCAGTCACTAGATTAAAGACTACTAAATATTAGTATAGCGTTGTTATTCCATGACAGGTAGTATAAGACAATGCCAGTGTTACATTAGTAAAAAATAAACAAATGGAATACAAACAAGGCAAACAATACTCATAAAGGTGAAGTCAGGGCAGGAAATGCTGCATTCATAGTTCACTCACAACAAGCTGTAATTCCAAATTTCCCAGCACGTCAACCTTTTTAATGTCATATAATGGTTTTATTTTATGCATTAATAGTTTTATCCAAAAATGCCCCTTTTATAGACTTTGAATTTGGGACAGGCCTTATCCCCTTTTCACTGTCTCCTTAGATCCCGCTGTTGGCGGATGGGATACGAATTCATGGGGAGAAATCCACGGAGCAGCTGAAGCCGCTGCACAACCGCCTGGTCTCCTGCTTCCAGGAGCTGAAGGAGAAAGTGGAGAAGCACTATGGTGTCATCACGCTGGTTAGTAGCACTCCCTGCAGCCCGGGTCAGCACAGACGATTGGTTTTCAAGCCCATCCAGGACCATTATCGACCGATTACTGGCTTAATTAGTTATGACTAAGGTGATCTCCATCACTGATAGAGGAGAATAGCAAAACCCCGTGGGTTTGAGGCTCGCTAAGACCAGGCCAAGGTGTCCCTGATAGCAGAGCAATGAAGAAGAATAAGGAGAGGGTGAGATCACACTTGTGTGCTTCAGGACACAAGGAAATTCAACTCAAGGCCTTTGTTCGGCTGATCTTTTAAATTTGTTGCTGGCCTCACTCACAGAAGGAACCAAATCATCTTATTAAATAAATAACCATTGTTCCTCCTGGTGAGCTGGCGAAGCGTGTTATAGGGGAACACAGCATTTTAAAGGCTTTGGAACGCCAGTTTGTGCAATGTCATCTGGCTTTTGAGGTTCACCGTATACGTATAAAGAGTGGAGCCCCTCTCTCTGTCTGAGCAGTGTGGTTCTGAACCCTCTCTCCCACAGCCCTGCTCCCTGACAGAGAGGAAGAAGAGCCGCGTGGGCTCAGTAGTGATGCCATACATCATGTCCTCGACGCTGCGCCGCCTGTCCACTGTGTCCACGCTGTCCACCGCCTCCTCGGGTCACTCCAGCGGCTCCGGCTCCTCCGACGGCACCCCTTCCCGGCCCTGCTCGCAGGAGTGCGTGTCCCCACTCTCCCTCAGCCCTCAGCTGTTTTCCTCTGCAGTGTTCAGGGCAGCAGTGCCTCTGCGTCTGTCTGCCCCTTAACTTGATTTCTCTTCATCTCGACATGTTCTAGTGTTTCTTCCTTTTTATCTCCATCCTTCGGTTCCTCTCTTGTTAGCGAGACTAGGAAAAGAGGAAGAGAAGGATTGGGGACCCGACTGGGGGACCCTGAATCTTGAAACATCCTCTCCTCTTTAAGAGGTGAAGTCAGGTTCCCCCAGTGCCTGTCCACCTCTATCTCTCTTTCTCTTTTTCTCAGAAACTCTCTGTCACTATTCAGAGGGGTCAGCACTGCCCCATGCTGCAGCATGGGTTTTCAGGGTCTGCCCTGCCTTTCTCTTTTACCCCGTTTCTCTCGTCACCCGTCTGGTTCTCCCTGTCTCCGGCTCTCCTTCTCCGCCTCTCTTCAGTTTAGCCAGAGTTCATCTCTCTCTTTCTCTGTACCCAGCTCTCTGCTCTCCCGAGGCAGCGACCGGAGAGCCTCGGTGCTGTCCCGCTCCGAGGAGGACAATAGAATCGGCCGCAAGAACCGGAGGGAGTGGAACATCAGTAAATCCCAAGTGCTGATGGAGAGACTGCCAGACGCAGACGGGGTAACGGAACCTCGGTGATAAGTGGAGCAATACAGTTGGATTGCCAGAGCATTACTGTGGCCGAATTCCAGTCGCGTATTGGATTACACAAAGGTGTTGTAGCTAGAATTCTGCTAAAGGATCTACCTTGTGTAGAAATGTTCTCATCACATAGTTTCTGCAGGACAGCCACACAGAACATTATCCAGGTTTTCAATAAAAGAAACTTGAATAGTGCTTTTCTGGACACTCCACTCAAAGAGCTTTACAGGTAATGTGGACTTCCCTTCACCATCACCAATGTGTAACACCACCTGGATGATGCTCCAGTCCGCTCACCACACACCAGTTCTCAGTGGGGAGGAGAACAGAGTGATGAAGCCTGTTCAGAGATGGGGATTATTAGGAGGCCATGATTGGTAAAGGCCAGGGGGAAATTTTGCCAGGACTCCGGGTAAACACTCGTAAGCTTTTCGAGAAACACCCTGGGACTTTTAATGATCAAAGACAGAAAGGACCGCAGTTTTATGTCTCATCCGAAGGATGGCACATTTTTACAGTATGGTGTCCCCGGCACTAACTTTGGGCATTAGGACCCATACAGACTGCAGGGTGAGTGCCCCCTACTGGTCCCACTAACACCTCTTCAAGTGCTAACCTTGGTTTTTCCCAGGAGGTCTCCCATCCAGATACTGACAAAGCTCACACCTGCTGAGCTCCAGGGAGCTGCCATTTGTGAGTTGCAGAGTGATATAGCTGCTCTCTGGTTTTCTCAAGAAGACTCACAAACTTGTTAAAGGTGACAGAGCTTGAACATAATGAACTGGATTATACCTTAACAATTGAACCTTTAGGATTTAGCAGTGTGTGCTTAACCTCTGTGACAGACAGTGTAGGTTATTCTGATGGCTTTACCTGGTGAAAGTATAGTTTGTAGGCACACTTCAGTGAGGAATAAGGAAGTTTTACTAAGTGTAGGTGTGGGCATGTTGTCTTCCTTATATGTCTCTCAAAGGAGAGCAAATCTTTGACTCTGATGTTGTGCCCTCTCCATCACAGACCCCTCCAGAGAGGCCTCAGAGACCCAAAAGCTTGCAGTTTGGGGACCGGCGAGTGACCCTGTCCCTCTTCCAGGGGGGATCCTCTCAGCTCAACTTGTCCAACCCACTCAGCCCCCTGCCCCCCTCTCCTCACACACCTCGCAGTTCCAGTAAGTACATCCTAGAGTGCTCACAGGAAATGGAAGTAAGAATGTACATTGCAGAGCACTTTAATCTCTTTCATAGAAGCAGATATGTCCTTTAATGTCAGAAGTGTGCAGATTTACTCAAAACAAAATTCTGAGTTTGAGTTTGAATTATCCAAAAATAGTTTTGAAAAAAAGTGCAAGAACTTGCAGTTTATTAAACCCCAAATAGCTCAAACCAATGGCATGTGCAGTGGCAATCCAATCTGATCATATTTTTGTTGTATCTGATTTGGATTAGCCAGTTGTGCATTTTGCACATCTCAGTTCAGTCCCACAAATCTCACAACCACACACGTTGAGAATAAGGACGTGTAAGCTAACACTTCAGACTTCCCTCCTTCAAGCTGCTTGTGTCTCAGTAGGTCACAGGCAGCACAGTCTTGTACCAGAGGATCAGGGCTGAATGGAGGAGAGATATCTCCTACTCCAACAGCACAACTTACATCCAAGTGCCCAGCACACTGCAGGGGGTGCTGTGTCTTGTTGAGAGCAAAGAGTGCCATGTAACTTCAGGCACAGATTTGGCACTCAACTGCGTATTCTTAATTTTATTTAGGACCTTGTTTGCAATGTGGAATCTGGACCCTACATAAATGCAGTATTGATGATCAAGTGGCCAGAAATATAGAGTGTTGTACCAGTCCTAATGCAGGATTACATACAATACAGGGTGATCATAAAGGAATCTCTGGGAAACTGGATTCACACTGAAAATGTGTGAGCTGTGAGCATGTACTTAGCAGTGCAAAAAGCATTTGCCTCCAGGTGGTGCTGCATCACTATAGTTGTGAATCCTTTCCTGAAGAAGAACCTATATATAATTTGTGATGTTACAGACTGCCAGCCTTGGACTGTCCATCTTGCATTTCTTCCAGAGGAGACTAGTGTGCTCGGGCATCCGTAAGAGGCCTGTTCCAATTAAACAACAAATATATAAAAACTAACAGTAATCAAGTACATGCGTGTGCCTCTACAACAGTTCATGAAATAACAAATCCAAATAATAACAAATATGAAATTAATAAAATCCACATAAATAACAAATCCTCAAAACTTGTAAAAGCTGCATTTGTGAAAGGACTAATGTAAAATAAATAGAGCGCAGATGCTCTGCAACTTGAAAACAAAGCTAACCCATCCTGTTAGATCGAATGCGTTGCTCTATCTCATGAAATAATCACCCAGAGCAGTCTGATCGGAAGTTACATTTTTTTAAAAACGAGTGCGCTCCAAGTGCCTGCAGTGTAGAGGTCTCAGGTGTGTCAGTGGAATCAGAAGAGATTCACCGAGTGCTTTTTTAGCAGCGAACCAAATGTTTAAACACTTCAGTTTATTGACACAAGCTCACATTTCACATTGAGCCAAGTATTTTTCATTAAAGTTGCTGTCTGTTTAAGTTATTTTTTTCCAATATCGGTACTTATATCTTTATAATCATGTGGTGTGCCACAGGAAGTTAAGGATGTTAAAATCTCAACCTTAAACATATGTAAAGGCTTAATTTTCTCCTGCGGAAGGCTTAACAATGGCATTCGTCACGTGTTGTAGATACATCTGTATAGGTAGTGGAGACAGATAAAGTTCAATATTAGTCCTGAGGTATAGAGAGGAGTGGAAGTAAGACGTGTTGCTTAGGATGTAGACCTATATTACTTTTAACAAACTGTCTGCTCTAGTGTCGTCATCATCATCAGGAACTGAATCTTTATCCCGTTTACCTTAATGTGAGTAAATTTACACAGGAAGGCAGGTGGGCATGAAACAATATTTAAATAGTATCTCCAGGTTTGCTTTTGTGATTCATCAGTACACAGTTTGTGTAGGAGCCGGAGCTCATAAAACCTCATTGCCCCCAGTGTGTCTGGAGGACAAAACGGAGATTAATTAATTCAGCATGATGTCCTGTTCACGGAGCCCTTGGGTCTAGATAATTAGAAACCTCTTTTTCTGTTAGCCTTCCTTTCAAAAAAGGATTGTTGTTGAAGAGCCCTTGTTCCAGTGAAAATCCTTCAGTATGTGTTAGTCATGTGTGCCAGAAAACAGGATTTACTGCAGTTGTGTAAAACAACTCTTTTTCTTTCCTTCATTAGCATCCTGAAAGCTCTTTTATAGGAAGTGGGTCATGGTCTCCATGCCTCCGGCATCAGAGATGCATTGCCTTTTATAACAGAGTTTTCATGTGCTCACCTCACAAACAAAAAAAACATTGTAATAAAAAAGACAAATATCAGATTTCTGCTCTTTGGGACTTCGTTGGCCATTACTGTAGTGTTTTCATTCAGGTGCACATGTGTAGGCCAGTGGTGGCCAGTCCTGGTCCTGGTGAGTCACACACCTGCTGGTTTCTGTTCCAGCTGAGCCCTCAGGTACACAATCAAACCCTTCATTAAGATTAGCCTGCACTGTTTGTCCCCAGCTCTTAAACATGTTGGAACTCTAACTATTGTATTTGGTGAGTTAAATAATATCCCAACTTTGTGACTAGAAACAAAATGCAAATATTCAATTGAAACAACTTCTTAGGTCAATTAAGGGTTCATTTATCTAATTAAGGTGGGATGGGTTGAAAACCAGCAGGTGTGTGAGTCACCAGGACCAGGATTGGGAACCACTGTACGCAATGGTACTTTCTCCTAAAGATCTGGAAAAAAAAAGCTTTTGGTATGCTTCCGGTCAGTTGAACTGCCTTCCTTCTGTGCAGGTTACACTTCTCTTCAGAGTGATGGTGATTTGAGCTCAGACCCCCCAAGCACACCTCCCCCCATTCCTTCAAAAAGACACGCCAATGAAAACGACAGCCCCCGGAACTCAGCAGAGGTAATCAGCAATGGAATGACCCTTTTGAGCCTTTTTTCTTTGATTCCTCTAGTGAACTAAGCTGATGCACCCCTGGAAAAATTGATCTAGTACTATAGAGCCTTACAAATTCACCTTTCCTTCTGCACATCAGCTTTAATTTGTAGCCTGGGAGTACGCAGAAGCCTCATCTTCAGTGCCTCTGCAAGTGATCACATTGATACAAGGCAGAATGTCACCAATGGAGCAAATGTCATTGTACTAGCTACTTCTTCATCTCTCTTGTGTCTTTTTTAGTTTGTGCCCCCTCTACCAGTGAAAGGGGATACCAGACCACCCCCGCCGCCTCCCAAAACGCGCAAGTCCGTGGTCTCGACGTTTGAGCACAGTCCGCAGTGAAGGGGGGCGTCGGTCCTGATGCTGGGATCGTCCGTGTGAACGGGTGTGTGAAGAATATCAGGCCCTGTGTCACCCTTTCCGTCCCTTCCCTCCCTTCATCTGACTACAGCGATTAGCGAAGAGCAGTGGGACCTGAGAGAGAGGGGGGGGAGGGTGGAGAGCACATCTGGAGGCGAAAGTGTCCTGGAACGCTGAAATTCTTTTCTGTCGGTGAAGTGGCCTCCCTCAAATGGTTCGCACAGAGCGCGGCCTGTCCAGGTGGTGTACACGGCTGGACAAACGAACAGCTTGAAGTCGACCGAAGTGTTTTTAGTTGAGATTCCGTCAGAACCTGAGTTTTGACATTTTTAAAAATAATACACAGTCTTCTAAGGATGTCCAAGACTGCAAAACAAAACAGTTGTGAAATAAATTATGAATATACTACGCTGTAAATAATCGGGGTCGGGAAATGACTAAATTCGTTTGGAAGCTTTTTTTTGTCCAGTTTTCAGCAGCCACAGTAGACAAATTAAAACTCCTGTGTGAATCCTGGAAGCACTGCATTCATGTTATAAAGTCAACAACCGGAGCTTTAAATCACTGCTGTGCAAACCTCCCTTTTATCAATAATGGATTCTACAAGTTCAAGTTCTGTGTAAAGAGTTCTTTCATTCTTACAGAATGTTTGTTACTCCACACACCTCCTTAGCAGCCTGACTCCCTGGAAGACTTCCCTGTTGTCAACAGTGATTGAAGAACCTTGCAGTAATGTGTTCTTATTTTAATCAGTTTGCAAAGGCCTCCAAATGTGGGATTTTAATAGTGTTTGGAAAAGGAGGGAAGGGTTTTATACAACGCAGGAGCTTCAATAAATGTTTCCAGGCACTCATTTCATTCAGTGTAACAACTTAAAGTGTTAAACTTAGTGTAAGTGTAACTTACGATTTTTTGACATGCTGGTGGCTTGCGAAACACAGTATTGGCGGTCACAAAAGAACAAGTGCACGATCTTCGTGTCCAAACCCACAAGTTCCCTTTCCATGTGACATCACATGCCTTGGTTTGGCTATGAAAAATCGTGGCACAATGAAATCAACTGGTCGACAGTAGCCAAGTTACAATAAATGCTGCAGTGTGACAGAATATCTCATAAGAAATACAAAACAGGAGGACAAGATGAGTTGCGAGACAATAAAAAAGGCAGGATTATTTTTTTTTTTTGGCCTGGGGTGTGTAATGGTCCTTACCTGTGGCATTCCACCCTCTGGGGCTCATTTTATGAACTCATTTTGCACACCTCCAATAAGCCTGTAATTAAAATGAGATGCAGTGTATGGTGTTCAATATCTGTATTCCTCGACTTCAGAAAAGCACTTTGGCCAAAAACATGGCATGGTAAGTAAAAGACAAAAACATTTTAAGCAGTTCATGCTGCATTTTAAATGATGCATTGTACCAAACCTCCACTCACATGCTTTTAAATTCTTTCAAGACATACTAAAGATATTTTTGGAATAGCTTTCTCTTAGGCTAGTGCTTAAGATGCTTTAATTACCTCATTTATTAAACAAAGATAATCAAAACATGCACTGGATTTCAATCTAAATGTGATTTTATGTTTGTCTTAAGGGAAAATGTGTGTTTGTATAAATGTAATGTTTTCCTACAAACAAATGGACTCGTTTTGTATGGGTCTTGATGTCACTGTGTAGTTTATGCACAAGTGCCCTGGATTAGATGCCTGATGTTTTTATCTTCCTGACTGTCACTGTGATGATCTGTCTGATAAAAATGCTTGGTTATGCATCAGCCTATAGGAAGGTTTGCGAGTCTCTGTCTGATATGAAACTGTCTTCTTCAACACTGGATCCTTGAATGCTGAATGTGCACAAATTTAATTCAAGGTAATCTCCTTTTTGCAAGGAAATCAGGATATATGCAGTAAAATGAAGTTTGCAGGAAAAAATTAATACTAATTCAATCACATCAGTACCACAATCGACAAAATGCTATTCGTATGAGGGACCTAGCCTTACAAATGATACAGGCTTTTTGATTTATTGTTCCTTTGCTTTACTTGTGTGTCTTTCTCTTTGTCGAACTAAAAAAGTTTCCACGGTCGTCGTCAAGGAAACAGAGCAGGCTTACAAAATGTGTCAGTTTTGTAGCTAGAATCTCTCAAGGGACCAAAATGAACCAAACCTATATCATGGGGTAAAAATTGTATTTTGCAGAAAAAAGAAAGGAATGTAAAACAGGGAGATGGCAGGTAGGAGTTGCTAGAAATGAGCAGTTCAGCTTTGGAGGAAAAGCATGTCAAAACACTGATTTTTTTGGTATATTTTTATTTGTAACGTCAAACTGTCAGAATAAAATAATTTAACAACCAAAAACAGTGACCACTTTGTTTATTTTACCTCATGGAGTGCTGTTAAGATAATCAATTTCAACATCTGTGAGTGTTAGCAAATGTGTTTTTACAAACTGTTATGTCCCAAAAGCCATGACTTTTTAATGCTGTTTATATGCAAATACATCTATCAATGCGAGCTTTGATACCTTTTAGGGATATCACATGCCGCAGAGGAAACCTTTATCACTTTAGAGAAACAATTCATTTGCCACCGATCTCTTTCACACAACCCTTTTCCATCATGGCTTCTCTAGAACAAGAGTTGGCAATTTAATTCTGAAAATATTTTTAGAACAAAGTGCAACACACTACAATTAGGGTAACACCCTTAATAACTTATCAGCGGGTTATTAACTGGAAGGTTTGATTTGATAAAAAGCAAGAATAATACCAAGATATTAAAGGGATTTGTAGTAGAACGACTGGATGCAGTATAATTGTTTAGAGAGCAAAAAAGCTAGTCATGAAAGTTTTAGCAAGAGAGGGTTGGAAAAAAGGGAAATATTTAATAAACGGGATGAATTTTCAAGTGGGTGATGTTTCTTTAAAAATTAAATTGCCGTGTTGAGCTGGGGGTGGAGGTAACTTGTGTTCAGGATTTGAAACTGGCCACAAAATATGTAAGAGAGAACACTGTTACAGTGTAGCCAGATAGGATATACTAGCATACAGAGACACCTGCAGAAAACATTAGAGGTTAAATTTGTCATTCATATGTAGTTTAGTAAAAGTTTGACCTTTTTATCCTTGTAGTAGGTAATATCAAAATTATAGTGACAGTGATGCTGGGGAGAAGAGAGTCTCCAGTTCTCTCATACGTTCATCAGACCATTGCACCTGTGCAACCACAGATGTGCACAAGAGCAGTAATACATAGAGATCAGGTATAGAACAGAGGAACTACAGTATGTATAATGGTCTTTTTATATTTCTCCAGGGCTCAATACCCTTTAATATGCACTGTGTTGAAACCCAGTTTCACAATTCTTATAGAAAAATCAATAACATTCTTAAACCTTTAGCACACTCAAAACATCCGAGACATTTCTTCAGGCAGATATCCATCTCTCCACTCCTCGGCTCAATGCCAGATTTCTACAGCTGATTAATAAAGTAAATCATTCAATTACTAGATATAGTATATAGAGGGTGTGATCTAGAGACTGCTGTAAAATGTCAATAAGATGGCTGGGAGAGCACCAGTATAGGTGGCTCACAGGGTAAGAATCGGAGTCATTGGCAGAACTAGAGCGTGAACCTGAGAACACCTGGTAGCAAGTTCTTTAACCTTTCTGGAGCACTGTGCTCCTACTGGGAGCTTGTTTCAAAGTGGGTCTTGTCACGCTAACCTGTGCCTGAAGGAAGTTTCTATTGCTTGCAGAGCTGACGTCTGTTTATCAGTATTAGATTTATCCACTTCCTATTATAATCGGTGCCCTGAGTTGAAAGCCTTATCATGTTGTAACCCACCACAAACAGTTCTATAGCCGTGCTTGCTGTAAAACTGAGGAAACTGTACCGAGCCACTCTTTATGTAAACTTTGGTAGGCTGAGCAGTCTTCCAGGCAGGTTTTATTACTCGCACAGCTAGACAGATGCAAAGAACGATATGTAAATATGTAAATATAACTGTTCTTCCCAACAGCTTTTTATTGTTCTTTTGAAAAAGAAACAGATTTTTTTTAAATTAATGCCATTATTGATTTATTAGGCAATGATGTAATTCATTATGCAAGAGAAAATACAGCTCTGCCTGGAAATGTAAGAGAACGATTTGTATCAACTGTATGTGAACCTAGTGTGGAACAAGATTCAAAGCAATCAAGCTTATGAATACAGATCTACTGTACAGTTGAATATGCTTGGATGACAAAAATATGAAGTATATCTTCTTTTTGAAAATGCCGGGTTGCATTGCTAGTTTTTTATTTTGAGATTACATGGGTTACAATTAAGCTTTTTAATTTTCTTTTCTTGCCATTATGTTTTAGAACATTATTAAAATATTCATAGATATTGAATATCTATATTGCACTCAGAGAGGAGTTAATAGCTTTTCAGTCAACGACCATACCGACCAGTTTTTCAGCCAGTGCAGTGGATTTGGAAAGATAATGCCACTGGTTAACATGAAGTAATATGTATGGACTCTAAAGGAACAAGGAGTCACCAGTACCAGACGCGAGAACAAGGTTTGTTTTCACTGTGTGGTTTCAGGATGAGTGAGCGCAGTTTCTCCCAAAAAACCCTCTGGGCATCTGGGTCTTCTCCTGGCCAATCAAGGCAGGATTTCTTGCGCAATTCTCTATGGAGCTTCTCGTGCTGGGACAGCCTCTCTGAGGGGATCTTCTCCAGGAAGATGAAGATCAGCACATCCCTGTTCTCTGAGAAGAGCTGCATGTGCGCCAGGCTCAGCTCCAGCTTGCACCACTCGCTCTTGAGGAAGTGCCTGGAGATGACACAAAGCGTCTTGCAGCTACACTGGATGCTGCTCTCCACGTTGTCAAAGAAGGAGCCTCCAAGGTCCCAGTCTCGATCCGACACACACAGCTTGACGTTGGGCAGCCCAGCATTGTCTTCCATGTGTGGAATCAGCTCATGCAGCACCCACTGGAAGTCCCTCTCACTGTAGGCCACGAAGGCATCAAATACAAACCTGGGGTTGTCCACCCACACCTCGCGGTCATTCTTCTTGGACAGAAGAATGTACCACTGGTAGTAGATCTTCCAGCGGTTGATATACAGCAAAGTGATAAAAATACTTAAGATCAAGACACCGGTGAGGACACCAAGTATGTACCAGACATAATCAGGAACACATATGGGATTGAAGTCCTTAAGCAACACGCCTCTCAGGCGTACAGGAGAATGGCACTGAAAGGTCTGACTGATGGACTGGTTCTCTAAGGAGCTGATCCAGGATGAAGCCCAAGCCAGGCTACAGTTACAGACGAAAAAGTTCCAGGTGAAATTGGTGAACAGATTGGAAGGGAAGAAGCTGAAGAGGCCTTCAGGCAGAGTCTGGAGATGGTTGAGGCTGAGATCAATGTGGAGGAGATTCCTATTGTATTTGAACAAATCTGTTGGGAGGCTCTGCAGCATGTTGCCTCTTAAATTAAGTTGTTGAAGATCTGTGAGGGAATCCAGGAGTCCAGGTGGGATCTTTTGGAGGAAGCTCTCTTCTAGCGTCAGTAACCGGAGAACATTTAGCTTTCTGAAAGCATCTGAGTGTAGGAAAATAATAGGGGACTTAAGAATGAGTAATTCCTGCAAATTCTCTAGTTCTGAAAAGGCAAAGGCATCTAGCAGGTTGATGGAAGAGTAAAAGATCTGCAACCTCATCAGAGGGCACTGACGAAGGTGCTGAAAGGTTGTCTTCCTAATGCTATCAAAGTCTATGGTGTACAAGCCCAGAGTGTGCAGGTTGGAATTTTGAAGATCAAAGAAAACAGTTGTCATGTCCAGGGCTTGGATTTTTCCAATGCTGAGAGACTTGAGGTTTGGGAGCTGATAGAAGGCCTGTGAGCCCACCTGTAGGGTGGATTGATGCTGCTGGAGATGTAAGTGCTCTAAGGAGTTCATGTCTGAGAATGCATTGCTCTCTGCCTCATGTAGCCAGCCATAGCTCAGGTCCAGATAACGGAGGGAACGAAAGGTAGAGAAGGTCCATTTGTTAATCTTTAAGATGTGATTTCCCATGAGCATCAGGTTTTGCACATCTGGAGGGATTCCTTGGGGCAGCTGTGTGATACAAATGTAAATTAGAAAAGAGTTCATGAAGTATATAATCAATCTCAGAGATTTACCAAGATTTAAATCAAACTGATTTAATTTAAATGTTGTAGGTATACTTTGACAGCAAACGGTGATTAACAATAATTCTTTAAAAATGATGCATTACCATCTCTATTAATATTATGTATAGCAATAACTTGATGGTTTACTGAAAACTTTGCTTGTGTGATAACTGGAATAAATGGAAACAGGAGAGCACTGTTAGACTTTGAGGTGCTCCTGGTCTTTAACATGTCTGAGAGCCATTGAGCTCATCGAGCTCATCGAGCTCATTGTGAATTCCTTAGCCTCTTTCAGTTCTTGCTAGTCATCATAAAATGTACTTCAAGTGAATGTGTCTCAATATCACTCTGTGAAGTCACTCTGTTACACAGAAAGTATGTTTTTGTTGTAATATATTCAAATATCAAATGTGTGCATGGAACTATTCAAAAATAAAAAAGACATTGTACTTGTTCTTCTTAATTTAGTAATCACAAATACAAATTGCTTGAAATACCTTTCTACAAATACTTCTATTTACTGTCTTTTTAATGGCCTGGTATCTCTTATAGTGGTGAACTATAACTGCAGAACTAAAAACGCACAGTCTTTTAATAAAAACTAAGTAATCTTAAAGGTAATCTGGAAAGTAATCCCTAGTGATTCATTAAGTGGAGTAGTTAAAATTAGTACATTATACATTCTATTATTAATTGAAAGCAATTTGCCAAGTGACAGCTGCTTTTCAGTTGTGCTCACCAGGACAATTCATTGGTAGCAATGAGGCATCTATTTATTGATCAATTACTTATCACTTACACTGGGAAAATAAGGAGCTTAGAATTTCTCTTAAAGTCCAAACAGAGAATAAAGGCCAGCCTCGTGCTCCTCACCTTCGTTAGACTGGCTTCTTTGCAGTCCAGCGTCCTACTGTTGAGAAGGTAGAAGCAGACCCCCTTCTGGTCCTCAGTGGTATTCAGCCCAGCACAGCTGGAGAGGCCCTCATGGTCAGGGCAAAGTGTCTCGTTGATGAAATGAATGAAGGTGTCATTGTTGCCAGCAGGCAGTGATGTCTGGGTGGGAGATGTCGAGATGAACTGAGGTGGTACAGAAGGGTAGATGATAGGACCAGCACTGGTAACAGGGGTTGATGCAGATGCAGTTGTAGCTAAATTTGTACTTGTAGTCTGTGTGGTTGTAGTAGGGGGTGGGGTAGTTGTAGGTGTACTTGTAGTCTGTGTGGTTGTAGTAGGGGGTGGGGTAGTTGTAGTTGTAGTCTGTGTGGTTGTAGTAGGGGGTGGGGTAGTTGTAGTTGTAGTCTGTGTGGTTGTAGTAGGGGGTGGTGTAGTTGTAGTTGTACTTGTAGTTTGTGTGGTTGTAGTTGGGGGAGGGGTAGTTGTACTTGTAGTCTGTGTGGTTGTAGTAGGGGGTGGGGTAGTTGTAGTTGGACTTGTAGTTTGTGTGGTTGTAGTTGGGGGAGGGGTAGTTGTACTTGTAGTGTGTGTGGTTGTAGTAGGGGGTGGTGTAGTTGTAGTTGTACTTGTAGTCTGTGTAGTTGTAGTAGGGTGTGGGGTAGTTGTAGTTGTAGTCTGTGTAGTTGTAGTAGGGTGTGGGGTAGTTGTACTTGTAGTCTGTGTGGTTGTAGTAGGGGGTGGGGTCATTGTAGTTGTAGCCTGTGTGGTTATAGTAGGAGGTGGTCTTGTAGTTGTAGTAGTAATTGTAGGTGGGGCAGTTGTACTTGTACTTGTAGTCTGTATTGTTGTAGCGGGAGGTAGGGTAGTTGGAGTAGTAGTTGTAGGTGGTGTAGTTGTAATTGTACTTGCAGTCTGTGTGATTGTAGTCTTAGATGGTATAGTTATACATAGATGAATAGTTGTATGTGTGGCAGTTGAAGTTGTACTTGTACTTGTCTGTGTGGTTGTAGTTGTAGGTGCGATGATTGTAAATGAAGTTGTAGTTGTAGTTGTACTTGTAGTCTGTGTGGTTGTAGTAGGAGGTGAGGCTGTTTTAGTTGGAGTAGTAGTTGTAGTCTGTGTAGTTGTAAGAGGAGGTAGGGTAGTTGTAGTCAGAGTAGAAGTTGTAGGTCGGGTTGTTGTAGTTGCAGATGGGGCAGTTGTAGTGGTATTTGTATTCTCTGTGGTTGTAGTTGTCTTTGGAACAATAGTTGTAGGTGGGGAAGTTGTAGTCTCTGTGGTTGTAGGAGGATGTGGGGCAGCTGTAGGTTGGGAAGTTGTAGTTGTACCTGTAGTCTGTGTGGTTGTTGTAGGAGATGAAGTAGTTGTAGTTAGACTAGCAGTTGCTAGCAGGGCAGTTGTAGTTGTACTCATAATCTGTGTGGTTGTAGTACGAGGTGGGGCAGCTGTAGCTGAAGTTTTAGATGGACTCGTAAATAAGGTAGGTGCAGTTAGACCAGTTAGAGCGTTAGCTGAAGCAGCCATAGGTAGAGATGGAGGAGGCGATATGGCTACAGCTACAGATCGGTCATTTGTAGTTATTTTGGCTTGATCATTGATGTGGCTTTGACTTCTCCCAGTCTTTCCAGTTGAGTGTGTTTCTTTATGCTTAGCCAGTGGCCAGCAGACTGTATGTTTCTTTTGTCGGCTGTAGTTAGGGGTCAGGCCTTGAGGTCTTGTTGAAAGGGCCTGCTGGAGAGCTGTGATCCTGGTGTAGGGTGTGTGCACAGAAACACCATGCTGGAACCCCTCTGTGGCACTGTCAGAAGGGGGCAACACACAGAGACCAGTGCCAACCATCCAAAGCAAAAGCATGTCTTTCATCTACAATTAAACATAAATATTTCAGTTAATGGCCAATTATCTGTCACAATCTCTAGATTTTTGTTATTGGATACTAAATCTGATAGGTCATATGAAGTAAGAGCCTGCTGCTGGATTGCAGTTTTATTTTGCAAACAGTTTATGGTTTGTTTTTATATTGTTTTATATTGCATATTTCTGATGTATCAGAGAGAATCATGTTTCTGCTCTCTCTCCATAGTGATTGTATTTTACTTGTTTCAGTTAATTGTTTTGGAATTAATTTTAGCATTTTCAATCATAAATGTATATATTTAGAGTTAGCACTATTAATTTGCTATATCAGCAATATCCTGATCGCTTCACAAAGGGAGCTATGAAAATAAATAAAAGGCTCAGATCAGGTTTACAAAAAAGCAGATAAGAGGTACTGCAAACATTGAGCAAAAGATTTTGTGGTCAGACAAGACAAAATTGGAACTTTCTTGTTCAGGCACAAACATGGTGCATCACTTAATCACCACTATCCCCACAGTCCAACACTATTGTGGCAGCAATATGCTTTACTTTTGCATATCACCAGCAGGGTCTAGAACGCTTACTAACATACTATAGATGATATAAAGTACTGGCAAATTGCAGAAAACCTGCTTCAAACCTAAAACTGGGACAAAAATTCAAAGCACAAGACCAAAGTTACACTGCAGTGGCTTAAGAATAAGATAATGAATGTCTTTGAGTGGCAAAACTAGACATGTCCTGACTTGAATAGTGTTGAGAAGCTGTGGAAAGACTTGAAAAATGCTGTCCAAAAGCAATCCCTGAGCAATACGAGAGAGCTTGAGCCTGAAAGAACGAGTACAAATTGTACCTGTGTACAAATGGTGCTTTCACCCAATGTTAAGTTAATAAGCCTGAATTCTTATCCAATCAACATATTTCTATTTATTTCTCATTAGTTTCTTTCTTTAGCTTAGGTTCTTGGCAGTTAATTGATCTTAGCATCTCATTTCAACACCTTTTGGAGTAGTAGTTGTAGGTGGGGCAGTTGAAGTTGTACAGTACTTGTACTTGTCTGTGTGGTTGTAGTTGTAGGTACGATGATTGTAACACACACAAACTAGAGTCTAGCGATTAATGGAAGCCAGAAAAGAGTTTAATTTTGGAGACTCGACATTACAACCGACCTTCCATTTTCTAACTGCTTTTTCCAACACAGAGAGCTGGAGCCTATCCTGGCAAGCAGCCAGGACAAGTCAGAATACACGTTGGATGGCACACCAATCCCATGATGCTGAATTTTGTTTGCCTCGATGCAGCTTATTCACCTATTAGAATATGATTGTGTTATTATCCATTCTGACATTCGGTGTAGGGCAGCTACTTCTGAGATATGCTGGACCTGAAGGAAATGTAGTGGAAATGTAGGAAGTATGGAGCGGAGTTATTAGACATGAGTTTTGTTTCAAGTTGGTTTTCTGTTCCACATTGATGCTTCACGTAACATTGTATTACGTCCAAGCATAATACAATGTTAGATGTAAATAAATGTGCTAATTTGCATTTCTT